TTCAGAGAAGCAAGTAAATCAGCTGTTGAGTGGGACTTTGCCTGTGTAGACTTAGGAAAGCCAGGAGCTAGAATATGCCCTATTCGTAGGTGTGTCTGCAACTTGTTTTGTGTACCAGTTCCCGACCACATGTGTTTTTTACTGTGTTGCCTTTCAGTCGTCAAGTTGGAAATTGCTGAACCCTGTTTTTCAGGTTTCCTTTAACTTCTAGGATCACAGACTGTTTCGGGGTAGAAGGAATAGTAGCATATCCTGCAGTTCTGACACTCCTCCTGCTGAAAGGAGGGTCAGAGCTTGACACAAACCATGTCACTTGGAGCACTGTCCCCTCATGTCTTGAAAGCTTCCATAAGGGGAGATTCTGTAGCTCATCTGTTCCAGTGCATAAATATCCTTAAAACTGTTTCAAGTTCAATTTACTCAGCCTCCCTCTGGAGCCTGTCCTTCAAATTGCATCAACACCATGAACATCAAGCTGTAGCAAGCTGCTTGTTGTCTTGAAAAAATGGTTCTAAAGACTCATTCAAAATTTGTTCTTGGTGAGGTCAGACCTTCCACGAGCTGTGTTCCCTGTGCTGCAGTGACTGATGATAAGGCTCAACTTCCTTTGCTGCCATTGTAGCTCAGCTTTTTAAAGTGCCAAACTCTAGCTGAATCATCTAAGATCACCCAAATATATCTTGCTGAATTGTCAGGTGTTGATTCTAAACATCATGGCATAATCTGTCAGGGTAATTTAACAGTTCATGCATATCAGGCTCTTGCTCTTGATTAATTTTTTAGTGCATTTTTAGTCATACTGTAAATTAAAGTTCTTGGTGGTATTTCTGCTGTTGTTGTGTATCTCTGTTTAGCGAAATACATGGTTATCCTGCTTGAGATAATAGCATAAATGATAGTCTGATGGATGTTTTTACAGGTGATTCTTACAGTATACCACCTTTCTGAATACCATTGATTCTGTTCTTCAAAACATTATAGCTTTAAATCATCATTGTCAAAATACATCTGACTTCTTTGTTATCTGAAAAAATCAACCCTTAATAATCCAAAAATAGCATTTTTTTCATGTAATGCAGTCAAAACAGAGATTAAGGGACAGATTTTAACAGGTTTTTTTAAATTATTCTTCAAAAATCTTCACATTAAAAACACAACTCAACTATGCTTTAAGAACCCTAATACTTTTCTGAAATCTCAATGCTGATTGCAAAGCTTGAGCTTTTTTTTTTTTTTTCCCTACTATTTCTGCTCTGGAGAACAGTTTTGCATAAGTCTTTATATGAACCTGAAGCCCCTGTCTCTATTATCACTAGAGCATTTTTCTAGGTTGCTGTCAGAGTCAGGACTTAAAAAGGAACCAGACTGGTGCTAGATCAGTTTGATTATTCCCATGTCATTTTCCTGGGACTTAGAGGTATGTGTTAGAGAAAATGTGCTGTACTGAGGTTGCGTACATGAGTCTCACTGGCTTTGCTTTAGCAAGGGCCGTGCTCTGAGGTGTTTGTACTGGGTTCTCCCCTCAGTGGGCTTCAGGAAAGCAGCTTAGTATAGTCACACCAGTGGACCTGCACTGTTATGTCTGAAAAGTCCTAGTGTGTGATGAAGTCTGCCATGTTCCACCATTTGGATGAAGCTGGACTGGGGTTTAAAAGCATTGGTTGACTGGAGTTTACTTCATTGATTTGGGCACATTTGCTGCACCATCGGTTGTGTGATCTGTAGCATTGTTATCATATGGGATTTTCCACTGCTCAGGATACCTTCATTCTCTCGTTACATTAGATAATGGAGAGTTGATACATGAGACAGTGGAGAGTTGTTTGTATTCAGATCTTATTTATGGAGTGTTTTAAGGATATTTGGGACAATTGAATGTGATAGGTAAGTAACGAATCCTTCATATTGAATTGTTATGTGTAGGCCCAAGAAGATACAATAGATCAGGTTTTTGAGTCAGTTGTCCCTATGAGAGCTAAACAGTGTTTATAATACAGGCAGGAAATAATTGAAAGTGACTTAGTTTTATTTTGGTTTTTGATAGAAATGGAAACATTGCAACACAAATTGATTAGTGGGTTAAACAAAAGATGGCAAGATGAGCAAGGCAGGGCTTGGGTAAAAGAGTGATGAAGCTTGATGCATTTTTTTACATTAATTTTAAAATCTGCTGTCAAATGAGAAATGTACATCATACCTTTTAAAAAGTATTTTCTTGTTTACAAATTGCAAATAGCTATGTGAATCAAGTATCCTGTTTCAGTATAATAGTTCTGCATCTGCAGATAGATCCTTAATATATACAGATTTAAAGATGAATGACGCTGACTAATTCAGGTAAATACTGTGTAGGGGGCTGTTTTTCTTATTTAAATACCTTGGTGCAGTTAAGCGATTTTGTCATCTATCTAGGCATAAGATTTTGCATTAATGTTTACATATTTTCCCTTTGCTTAACTCCTATAAGATTTTATTATTCAGAGTAACAGGTGAATGTTTTATGTTCTAAACTGCTAAAAGTATAAATCTGCTGAAAATCAAGGCCACCTGCGTCAAACATGACACCTTCATCTCCCCATGAAACCAAATATAAAATACCAGACAGATAAAGGGTTACTGAAGAAAAAAAAAAATAGAATGGTCTGCTCTTGATTAAATGCAAGCAAATAATAATAAAAAAGGAAGGATGTCCTAACAGCCTTTTGGTTTCAGAAATTACATTTTAAGCATGAACAATTATATTGATCATTTTCTTTGAGGCACAAATTGTAAACAGTCACTTAATAGTATCTCTATGGTGAATGAGTCTTGTTGGATTAAGTAAAGGGAATATCCTATCTCACCTTTTTTCTGTTTAATGCTTTGTTTTTATTTTTCCTTGCCTTTCATGTTAGCTTGTTACGGTACTTATTCAGTACTCTATCCACATTTGATAAAATTTTGAATCCTGAGTTAAAATTTATGCTCTGCAGAGCTGTCACATGCTTCTAAACATCAGCTGAGAAATATGCAGGTTTTGGATTTTTTAAATTCTAATAGAATGACCCAGTTTGGTAGGCTAAAGCCAAGGTGAATTAAAATATGTGGCATATCTCTGAACTTACTGAGATACCATGTTTTAATAGAAAACTGCAACAAAATATTTCATGTAAAGCATATCAGTAATTTTACATTCTTTTAGTACATGAAGTAACAAGCAGTATGCTTTAGCTTGACAGGCTGGTCATTAGGATCATGGAAAAATGCAGCTAGTATTGGTAGGGCATCAGGCTCTTAATGAATGTTTACTGTGGATCCAAAAATGACACTGTGAAGCTGTGGCTGGTGGAAAGTATCTCCTTGCTGAGGCTGTTGTACTTTATCGTGTATCATGTTTCTTCAGTATAGGTGAAATGAGTAACTAACTGGATGATGGAAGTCGCATCTGACCCAGAAAAAAGGAGTACATCACTGTACTACACTGCATCCTCCTGGGTTAATAATACTGAGAGGGCACTCTTAATCTTCTCAATTCTTTATACCCTTGGAGAAAATAACAGCAAAAGCTTAATGTTAATTTGTATTTCTTTAACCCAATAGAAAATGAATTAATTTACTAGTTATGTGTCACTTAGGGAGTGTATTTGGGATCATGTTTGACCTGTGGGTTTCCCCCACAGGGAAGTATGTAACTAGTAGCTTGCAATAGGTTAAGTTTTGCTCCATTTTTAAAAAGTAGGAATCACTTCATCTTTTATCTCTAACAATGTTGCTGGTTACCAATATTCCTATTCTTTGATACATAAGTTTTGACAAGATTGACTTTTTAATTTTGTGTAAGAATTAAATTTAGAGCTTTTTCATTGGCTGATTCTTAGGCTAATACACAGTCCCATCAGTTGTAGTGAAGTCCTGCATGGTGAGCTTCAATTGAAGTGTTAGAAGCCAAAATCAGAAAACCACAAATAGATTGGTTTGGATTTATTTTTGGGGATGATGAAAACCATGACTGTGATTGGGTGGACACTGTGAGTGAAATATGAAGGATAAATGTGTATTCCTAAGGGCATTTAGGATCATGCTTCTGCCAAAAAAAGTGTGTTTTTCTTCCTCTCTGTACCTGTGTTCGTGCTACCTCCTTTTCACTGGTCTTACTGTTTGGGGAGCTGTATGGTAGGTCACATCAGCTCACTGAAGAGCTGAAGCTAACTCCTCAAACAAAAACAAATAATGTGAAATGGGATGAGATGGTTAGAATGTGTCATCTAAGTGTATTTGTGTTTTATAAATGCTTCCATAAAATAAGTCTGGTGATGGTTAAGTATTTCTTAGATGAAAATCAAACTTGGAAATGGTATGGAGCTGAATAAGATGAAAAATGGTTTAGAGTTGGAGTAGAGACAAAGATTTGTGTTGGGGTTTTTCTCAATTTTACGCTTGAAGCCTGCAGTTCCTGACTTTGATAGCATAAAAGTGCTGTCATGTTTTGCCTAGTGTGACCCTTTGCTTGCATTTTTGTGTAGCTGGTGGCCACAAACAATGTAGGGAGTGTCTGGTAAGTGGTGTGTTTTCAGGGGATCCTGGAGGGAGTTTTACAAACTGCAGTTTCACATCCTTCAGTGTCAGAACTGATTATAGCAGTCCTGTAGATGTGCTACATGGCAGATCCTTCTGAGATGACTGTAGTGTAGGTGATAATCCTGGGTTTTCATTCATACCAATTTTCCAGTGTAGTTTACTGCATGTCTTTACAAGTATTTGCCCCAACTCTGCAGGGTATGGAAAAACTAGTGCTGTGTTGGGACTTCTTTGTATTCATGTTTGGCTACTGCTTTGGTTTATAATTTAAAAAATAAAACATAACAAAATAAAGGGTTAAATAAGACAGTACTGAGCTTTGTAGACTTCCTTGACCTGTTCCTTTTTCCCATTATCCGTTCTTGCCTTTGTCAATACATCTGTATATCATAAATGAGATGTACTATAATGCATCTGTTGCAAATCACTGTCTTTTGCTTTAGCTTTTACCAGATTCGCGCATCTATGAAAATTCCTCCAAGAATTCCACACATATTAGAAGCTAGTTTGTTACATGGAACTGGTAAGTGCAAAAATTTTCCAGTAAATTAGGTCATTATCTTGCCTTGCTAACTGAGGGATTGCACTCTTTGTCATATATTTTTATAACTAATACAGAAGTGTTTTTAATTTTGTTACTAACGCAATGCAAATGTATCTTGTTCTTAAGAACAGGACTTAAAAGTTGATTACAGAATTTGTGTTACTATTTTTCATCTTCTGATTGCCTCTGCTGGTAGCAAAACATGGTGATTCCTTTATATTAGTGTCTTCTCCTTTATATTAGTGTCTTCTGGGGTTTTTTCCACAGATTTGCTCAGTCTTCTTCATGTTTCAGGCTAAGATGACCAAGGGCAGAATTAGGTAGATATCTGAAAGCAGTGGAGAATTTCAGATACAGATTCTTGCACAGATTGATAAGCCCATTCTTTTTCTGAAAAGGATACTTCAAAAGAATGCAGTTTTCAAACTCACTCTAGTGGTAAACTTGAAAACTGATTTAACCCCCTGAACAGAATTCCCTTATCTTTTTTCTTTTTTAAACCTGTAATTCACTTTTGGTTTCTATGTCCAGGCAAACTAAATCCAGAGAAACCTGCTAGGGCTTTCTGTGTAGGCCATACCTCAGCATGGTGTAAAAATGGGAAAAACAAAAAATTAATTAAGTTTTCAAATGTTATGTGGAATTGCAGGAATTTCACGGAAGAAAATCCTAATACAGTCTGAGAAAATGTGATAGGATCACATTAAAAAAAGTTACTAAAACTTGAACTTTTGAGGGTGTTTTGAAAGTAGCTCTGAGTACAGCAACAGTGTAAATACTGAATGTTGCTCAAGCTTCCTAAATATTTCTTGGATTTGTGTGAGATAAATGAATAGTTCTGATGAGCCAAGATTACTCTATTTCAAAAGCAAAGTTTAATGTAGTTTAGAGAATTTGGATCTGGTAAACATCCTGTAGTAAAACATACTGTTTATGAAGTGACACTTGATATGATCGATATTGCTGGAAAAAAAGTTTAGCAATTTATGGTATATTTTTGAATGGTCTTCAGTTACTTTTTCAGAAAGCTGCAGTCTTGTTAGAAAACTGTGACATAAGTGTTAGCTTTTGTTTCTTGTTACTAGGCATAAAGGGTATAAACATTAAGACTGCAGTTTGGTGTGAATTTAGATCAGCAGTTCTGACAAACAAAAAAAACCCAGCCCTTGATTCCCCCTGGCCACTCTGTCTTAGTTTCATATTGCTCTGTGTTGTTGACCCAAGTGTCTGATTTGGTCTGGGAACTCAATCAGCTGACAAGCAGCCATTTTACAAAAAACCCTAACCCCTTCAAACCCCAAAATTGGGGCCCTTTTTAGATCAGTTTTTCAGTTTGGTTTTTCAGGAAATTACTGATAATGTTCAACAAAGCAGAAGGAAGGGTACAAGCTGGTTAGTGAAAGGGGGTTAGTTTGTCCTTGTAGACATCACGGTGCTAGGTTTGCCAAAAACCTCTCCTTTCCATTTCCATTTAGCCACTTGCTTGATTTAGGAGAGCTGGATGCTGTAGGCTCACATGCAGCCCTCCTGCTCCAGGAGGAGGAATAGTTCAAAGCAATTCCCAAGATTGCTGTTGTGTGTAGAAAATAGCTGCTATTGGTCTCAGCATAGAGTAGCACTGTGCTGATTCACTGTGTGAAAATGTTGCTTGTTGATCGCCGAGGAGGCTGGTCAGGATCCCACAGTTCTCACTCATGAGAATGGTGTCCTGTATTGATCAGGTGCTTCTTTCTGTACTTTTCTCTCACTTCAGTCTTTCTCATACTTACCTATTCTAAATTGTATTCACTTTGTTATGTCATGGTTTTCCCACTCCAAGTTGTTCTGCCTACTTCTAGCTCTTCCTGGACTCTGCACAAGTCACCCGCAGTTTCCTTACTTTAGCTGTGTTTTTCCCTCTCCCACAGACCATTTATTTGATCTCTCTCCTCCTTTTATCTCCCTGATTCAAATATATAGTCTTAAGTTATTCCTCTTTTCCCTGTTCATTTACACCTCCTTTCACTGCTTCCCCAGCTCTTCATGCAGTACTTCATTAATTTAAATAAGTTGGTTTTTTCCATTTTTATTTTCCACGTAGTAACTCACTAGAACTGCTTGGGACCCAGCATGAGTGTCATTACAGATATGATAAGACAGTTCACTGGCTCCAGTCTTGTGAAGGTCTTTTATTATTCTTGTTTTGAACGAAGATGTAATTGTGCTGTAGAAAATGAAAAGAAAAACATATGTATTTTTAGCCTTTATGAGGTTGCTTCAGATCTGAGGATGTTCTGAATTCTTCCTTCTCTCAAACTCATGGGTGGTTTTCAGAGAAAGAAAAAGGCAGAATGGGAAGGAGTAAGGTGTCTTTTTTTTATGATGCAAGAGTAAGCTATCTTGTAAAATGTAAATAGATATATATGTAAACCTATATAGCTCATAAAAATATAAATCTAGTAAATGTATATACAAGACTAATAAATATGTAAGAGTAAATATGTCATTTATATGCATGATTAAAAAATCCCACTATTTTTTCTCCTCTGTTGTTGAAACAGCCTTTTGTGTGGATAGAAGGTTAGGAATAGTCCTGGCCAGTCAGTGCATCATTGATTTAAAAAACAGCAGCTCTGCTTTGATGACCTCACATTTGTGAGACCTTGCTCCCCATGTGGAAGTGGCTCAGCCTGTTCCTGACTCAGCTTTTCCTCTGCAGCTCCTCTCTCTCTTCTGGGAGTGCCGGTTTGTGTTACACTGAAGTCAGCAGAGCTGGGGGCTGTAACTCAGGCTTGGACACTGCAGAGGAAGTGGAACCTCAGCCATTTGTCTCCATTACTTCTTTTGTTTCAGACAGCAGTGGGAGATCCCTTTTGCTGATGCTGTGCAGTTATATCAGATTATGTGCCAAGTGAAACCATACCTGCTCTGCCCTTCAGCTGTAACAGATGACACAGATGGATGTAAGCTGAAAGTGGCATTATACATAGGGGAATTACTCTGTAATGATTCAGCCTTTATAAGCATTTTATCTAGGGCGCCTAAACTGATGATATGTGTGAAAAAACTTCAGCAAAACCCAGTATTTGTACATTTCTAAGGAGAAGTTGAATTGAGATGTTACTAAAAGTGGGAATGTTGCCAAGGGTGGTAATATTCTATCAGACTCCCCAAAATTGTAGACTGCAAACTGCAGAACTTTTTTTAACTCTTGTGGATTCCTTTGAAGTAGTTTATTAAGAAGAATCAAAAGAATTTTAAAAAATCTTCTGCACCCTCATTTACACGATTTCTAAGACATTTTATCTTGGAAGATGTTGATGTTATTGAGCCATTTTTTAAGAAGTCATAATAAGTGTCAGTATTACTGTTACTTCTGTTCTTCTAAGTTGCAACTTCTTTTAGTTTTTTTTTTTGGAGGATAGTACCCCTCATGATACTTACTGTGTGCTAATCCTTTGCAAACATGATAAATATTTCCTCAAAGATGGTTTTAAGTCATTCCCTTTCTCATTTCTTCTGCAAGTCTTTTAACTCTTTTATTTCAGCAAAAGGTTCCCTCACCATTTATCACACTTGCCTGAACTCTTTATGATGAGTAGCCTTTGGACTGAAAGCAGAAGTGTCATATTGCATTCTCCATGCCAGGTTCAGGTGATGAACTCGGAATTAGTTTGGCCTGAGTAGGATACAAAAAATCTCAAAAGAAAGAACAAATGACCTCTGTTCTTGATTCAGTGGAGTGGTATATGTCATTTAACCTATTTGCCTCATCTGTAGGTAATTTTGTTTTCAGTGTGGTTAAAACCAGCAAATTAACATGAATGCTAGATGAAACAATACAGAATTCAGGATTTTTATTACAATTTTTGATGCCTAGAATGCCTTCAGTTTGTAACAAAGCAAAAAAATCTTCAGAGCTTATATTAAAAGTAAATTATATTAAAAATATTGACAGTGTTTCTTTGAAGCAAAATGTATCCCTTCAAACTTCATCAGCTGCTGACTGAAAACCACTTAAATTACTGATGTTATTACAGTTTTAATAGTAATCATGAAACGGATCGAAATGATAATTCCACTTATTAGCTGCTCTGAGTTTTCCAGTTATATTAATACTTGTTTCTCTCTTCAGGTGCAACAGATCTTGCCTTTCCTGCTTCAGTCCATGACAATATAGTTTGCAGTAAAACATTTCAGATTCTTTACAAAAATCAATTTGAATTAGTACATTAGTACAAATAAGGGATCTGAAAGATTTCATGCTTCTATAATTTTTTTGTAGATTGAGGAGTCGCTTAATGAAATGAATTTTCTGCTAACATTAGATTTACACTTCACGGATACAGACTACTCGTAAGTTTAAATATAGAAGATTTTGTTAAAGCAAGAATATATGTTAACTCTTTAATCTGTTAAAAACTGGATTATTTATAGGCGTATTGTGTTCACATTAGACATAAATGATGGTAAAAAAGAAATACAATGGTGAAGTAATTTCATAACTGGTTTGTCTCATTCTAGTATTTTTTTTCTCTGGTAGAGATGCCATTGTGTTCCAAAGTATGAACTTACGCTAAATTGCTATTTTTGTCAGTTATTAGTAACTTGCACTTTAAATATGACTTTTCTAATTGTGTGTTGTTCTGTTAATTTCTCTTTTTAGACCAGATGACCTGAGCACACTACAGCCAATTAGTAGCCGAACTTTAAAGTTGCACTTTAACCTACACCAGGGCCTTCATCATTATGTCAATGTTATGTTTGATTACTTCCACCTTTCCGTCATATCGGTTATAGTCCATGCTTCTTTGGTTGCTCTGCATCAGCCATTGATAAGGTAATCTCTTTCTAATAAAATGCAAATAAATTATTGAATGTCCAAATGGAAATGTTATAAAACCAGAATAATTAGGAAGGAGTTTAATCTGTGGACAATATTGTTTTCTATGATGATTTTGGAATTCAGGGCCCAGAGGGATGAGAAACGTAATGTTTTTAAATTATCTGGTACAAATTTTGAGGGTCTTTTAAATTAGAAATAAGAGTGTGTAGTGTAGAAGAGAGAGAATGCCCAAGGCCAGAGAAGTGGAAGAATGTATAAATATCTGTATTTATATGTGTATTTTTATATGTATAAATATTTATGAATTTCTTTAATCAGGAAGATCTGCTGCACACTGTACACAGTGACTGAAATAGCTGCTGTTAATACAAATAGGGTGCCTTCTGTTAACTATCTGCACAGTTTCAGTTACTGCTTGAATGGTAGTGATATCTGCAAATGATACATTTACCATTTTAGTCACTAAATGGAGCTGGAGAGTTTACTTTTCTTTTTAAAAAAGATTTTGGCTAGTTTTTTCTGAAGCTTTTTTATTTAATCTACTTGTGTCACCCTTTGCAATCTCTGTTTACTTTGCATCTCTGTGAAAAAGTTCTGTACAGTCAGTTACACATAGTATTCTTTGCACACCTTTTTTTTAGCTTATCTATCTTTTCCTTCTTTCATGGTCTTCAAATAGTCCATGCTACTGCCCTCACGTTTGCTCATATTCAAGTCCAGTCTGTACCGTAAGTGCCCAGACCTTTAGCTGCAGGTATTCCCACTCGTTGTGTCTGTCTTGATACCATGGAAAGCACTGTTGGTGTACGTCAGACAGCTGTTCTGTGCTGAAGGGCTGTGCTAGTTTGGAGGATTCAGGTGGCTTTCATGGGTTTACCCCTGCAAGTTGGTTTGAATTGGTGATGTGTTTTAGGCATGGTTAGATAGTAAATGAACTAACACATCAGAAGAGATGGCACACCCTTGTTTGGGAGAGAAACAAGTACTGAGAAGGTGGGAATTGTTGTTGAATACATAATCTGATAAATGCACTTGAATAAACTTTTTAATGCACTTAAAATAGCATCATGTGTGTAAAATGTACATGATCACACATTGTTCCACAAGTGAAATTCAGACATTTAGGCTATATTGATCATTTGTTGTCAGAAAATGAAAAACAGGTTTTGATACTAATTTTTAGTCAGAAATATATTTGTCCCTACTGACATTTTTTAAAAGTTGCAGTAAATGTGAGGGGTTTTCTATATATTTTTCCTCAGTTTCTGGCTTTTAAAGTGATGATACAATAATGCTGTTAATTTTAAACCTTAGCTTACCTCAGTTTGTGTAAGGAGATACTGAAACAAAACAGCAACTTTTATGCTGCATTTATTATCTTGTGAGTAGGGTATTGCTGGTATCCACAAAATTATTTTAAGTATTCAAGTTGTCCTTTAAATCAGCTTGTGCTGGGGAGAGGAAGAAACTTTAAAATTTACGGTGTTTTATTTCAGCTGAGCTTCCCCATGTAGCAAATACTTGATGGTTGCTGTATCCATATCTGGCTCACTTTTCTCAAGCACTACTTTCTGAAAAACCTGAGAATTGCAAATGTCACTCCTCTTTGTCCTTTGGGCTTTCATGGGTGACAGTTTGGTCTTCTGTTTGGATCATGCTCACATTTGTTGGCATTTATCTCTTCCTTTCCTAGGAGTGGTCACTTTTTGAGTGTTTTCTTCTGAGTAGCATTCAGATTCACCTTCTTTTGGAAACAGCCAGCGTTAACACTGCCCTTGAATGAAAGAAGATAATTCCACTTGGGTGCAGCCCTAAACTCCTGTATAATCCACGCTTTTCTTTAACCTGTAATTGTTTATTTCTGCCTGTTATCTAATAGTCTGCACTTTCTGCATTCATTCATTTTTCATTCGTCTTTCCTAGTTGTTATCGCAAGGCTACTGTTGCAGGATGCTCTGTTCTTCCAGGAGTTCAGGATAGGATCTCCTCAGCAGGCAGAGGTCAGGCATCCTTTAGGAAAACAGCAATGTCAGTTTGTGTAACAGCTTTCAACTTCCTTCTACTGCTTCACTTTTAAGAGGTTTAAGTCCTCACAGCAAAATCCACAGAAAATGAATACTTCATACCTGCTATAGTTCAAAATTTATCGTTCTGGCTTAAACTTTCAGGAATATTGTTTAAATTAATTGAAATTTGCATTGTAAGTAATGAGGAACAGTATGTTCAGATTCAGTTCATTTGTGCTTTTTGCAGTTTTCCTCGCCCAGTGAAGAATACGTGGTTGAACAGGAATGCACCAGCGCAAAACAGGGACTCTGTGATTCCTTCTCTTGAAAGTGTGGTCTTTGGCAATAATTATACAAAACAGTTATCAGCAGACGTAAGAATATGTATCAGTTTAAGATTTTATTTGTATTCTGTTGGGAGGTGGGGATTTTATCTTTTCTGCGGGAATATTATTTGATAAAGAATGAACTTGGTTAGAAGATGTTTGGGGTGACGTGTGAAAAGGGAAATGAGAAAACTGTTCCAGAAGACTATGTTATCTGCTTCAGAAATGTACACATGGGAAGCTTACAATATTAAGTGTTTGACCTCCTTTTTTAATGTCTCACAATCCACTGAAAATCACAAAAATGTGGATCAAGTCTGTAAAAACAGCAATTGCTTTTCTTTTGTCATTCTACTAACACTTCATTTATTAGATGAAATTAATATGTGCCTTTTTGTCTTTATTCTAGGGTTGCAGTTTTGTTGTTTCAGAGTCTTTCCTCAGCCATGCTTATAATTTTCACTATACACTTTGTGCCACTTTGCTGCTTGCTTTCAAAGGGTTGCATAGATATTTCATTACAATAACCAAGGATCTCCCCTCTTCTCACCGAATTGAACTGGGTATGTCCAATTTCATAAAATGTATCACTTTCTTGTGAATGTTTATTAAGACTTCTTTTACACTAAACTGTCATTGATGGCATATCTCTTATATTTAAAATATTTTTTGCTTAAACTGATCCAATATTTAATAACTAAAAAACCCAAAGAAACAAGTACTGTCACATCTCTAATAAAATTAGGAGATAACAGCTTTAATCTATGGAAATGTATTTTTCTTCTTGGTCTTGATTTGTGCTCTTATTTCAAATTACTGTGTTTAGTGGTGAGAAAGTTAGAGGAGCTCTTAATCCAAGAGGCACAATGCACTTCTTAGTTTGTTGTAAGGAAACATTGCATATTTGTACAAAAATCTAAATTCTGTAAAGTTTGAGAAGAATATTTCACTGAAAATGCACATGATAAAAGACCTACAAGAAAAAATTGCTGCTAGCTTAGTTTGTAGTTTAACTGTTTAAACAGACTTAGTTGCCATGAAGATTTCTAGCTAACCACATGAGATAAAAGTAGCTGCAAAAGTATTACATGTCGTGTATGGAAATGTACATGTACATTCCTTTCCTATAGAATAAAGACATATTCGAGAGCCTAACCTTGATTTATGAACTAGAAAAGCAGTGAAAGTAAGAAAGGAAGATACACTGGCGTTGTAAACAGCAATTCAGACTTTTTCCTCAGCAAGTATATACTTTTTTTTGTCGTATTCTATTAAAGGAAAAAAAAATCATTTGGCATTTATATGGACTGTAGACAATAGTTACTGATTTTTGTATTTCATTTTACCAGCATCAAAACTAAGCACAGTGAAGCAGTGCTAATTGAGATACGAAAGACGTTTTAAAAATGTGATGTGGTCAGTTAGTGGTTCAAAGAAATAATATTTCATTTCTGTATTACAAAATACAAAGCTATTTTTGGTGGAAAAAATTTCAGGGAGCGTATTACAAATCTGTCCATAGAAAAATACTAGGAACTGAGGTGTTTTCTTTATAGAAGCAAAAATCCTGCTGCATTTTTCAGTCATTTATTTTAATTTTGATAGGGAGGGAAACACCTTATTAGAGGAGTGACTGAACTCTTCAGTTTTCCTTGTAAGGTCAAAATGTACTTTTCCCCAAATCATAGAATCACAGGGTCATTTAGGTTGGAAAAGACCTCTAAAGATCATGAGTCCAACAATTAACCCAGCTACACCATGTTCTCCACTAAACAACACCTCCCATGTGTCACAGCTACACGCCTCTAGAATGCTTCCAGGGATGGCGACTCCACCACTTCCCTGGGGAGGCTGTTCCCATGCCTGACCATCCTTTCAGTGAAGAAATTTTTCCTAATATCCAATGTCAGCCCCCTCTAGTACAACTTGAGACCATTTCCTCTTGCTGTGTCACTGGTTACCTGGGAGAAGAGGCTGACCCCCACCTACCCCACCTGGCTAAACCCTCCTTTCAGGCAGTTGTAGAGGAGCAGTAAGATCTCCCCTGAGCCTCCTTTTCTCCAGGTTTGAAAAACCCCAGCTCCCTTTGCCACTCCTCACAGGACTTGTGCTCCAGACCCTTCACCAGCCTTGTTGCTGTTTTCTGGATTTGCTTTAGCAACTCAATATATTGAGTTTGATGGCACTGTTGTTGTTCTAAGATCCTTAGATATAGGCTTAGACTAAATCTTGATGCTTAAATATTTCAGATATGATCTTCAGTCCCCCTAAAACATTCCTTCAAAATAGATATGTAATAGAAAAGGCTGTCAGTGAGTTGCATACTGGCAATGCAGTGTTGGGTTGTATCTTCAACCACATTGAAGTCATCAAAACCACTCACAAGTTTCAGTGGAACTTGAATCAGACCTTTTCTCATCTATATGGGTAATTTAGCTTACCTTTAGGAATGTAGTTTTGAGCAGAAATGCTCATAATAAATATCTGAAGAGAAAATTCCAACTTAGATTTTACATTCATGGTACATATTCTACTGACAGTTTGTTTCCTGTGGGTTTAATTTTTTTGTTTCTATTTTTTAAGTCTCTGCTAGAATTATTTGGGTTTTTTCATATTTATAAATATATTTTTCATTTATTTCAGTTATACATTGATTGGGAAAATTGATATAATAAAATGTACTAATAATATAAGCTTTAATTATTACTCACATTCTGCTCATGAAAAATAATACCTACCATTAACACTAGTGTTTCTAAAATCCATCAGCAGTTAACAAAGAAAGCTATGTTTCTGTAATATCTGTAAAGAAGTTGAAGCTCACTGGACTTAACCAAGTACACAGTTATAATTTGCACTTTCTTAAAAACATTTTTTAAAGTAAATGAACTTTTTTATAGTGGATATTTTATCTGTGAAGTTTAAATGGGCATTGCAGAATAGAATATCCAGTCCTGTTTAAACTTTAGAATCATCATTTTTTTGTTTAAGATAATACTATTCTCTCTTTAATTTTGTTTCTTCTGTTTGCTTTGCTATTGCTCTGTCATATAATTTTAACACAAGGCACTGATTTTGCAGAAGCATGTGAAGACAACTGTTGGACTTGATAATTGTAATTGAACATTTAAATATTACTGGTTTGAGGAAATAAAAACACTACCTTAATGTGTATCACAAGTGATACTTGATCTAGAAACGACACTAAAATGATAAGTTTTCATGTACTGATCTAACTGCACTAATTGCTAGGCTAGCAATAAGCTCTTTTACTAACTTTAAGGCAAATAATAAATCACAGGTGAAAAAAGGAGTGTAGTAACTAGTCATGTGTGTACAATCCCTGTAACTAGCCAAGGCCAGCATGCAGGTCCTTTATGAACGCCTTCTCAGAAGAAAATATCCACGAGCCCAGAGATTCGCCTACCTAGGTATGTTTCCAAAGCAGGTGATATAATCCCTCAGATTTTTATTGATACTATAAAATATTATATTCTTATTAATAATATAAAATGTTACTCCATTTGTAGAAAGAAACAATTTCAATATTCAGCCATAGCGAACATATATTGAACTCTGAAGTCTGCAGAATTGAGCTACTAAATTTTAGGCTGAGTATAGATGATAAAATGAGACATCATTGCTGTTTTTTGGTTTAGCATTGTTCTACTTTATTAAACAAAAATGAGTGAAAGTTCAGTCAGTCATCAACATTTAAAAAATAGCTTAGAATTATAGGTTCATTTAATGCAACACAGACTCATGATTTTCAGATAGTTAAAGATAATTAATACCTCTTCTTTCTGAGAAATCTTTCAGATTCCTTTTGGTATCTCAACACTTAATTGTTCAAGCACTACACCTTGGCACTGAGTGCTTAGAGTGTGTTTGTCCATATCTACATGGGCCAATCCTCCCTCTGGAGAGTGCCAGTGTGGGTCTGATGCTGGACAACAGATTACAGTTTAATCTGTAATATGTACAGTTTAATAATGGCAGTTCAGTCTCACAGCAGGTCACCAGCTTAATCATCTATAAGTATGGTTTGGTTTTTTTATGAAAAGGAAACCAAATTGGTTTTTATCAGAGATGGCAAAATTGCATCTGATGTTTGCTGGGTTAACACTGCTATAGAACGTAAGTGTTTAATTTCCTTTTGTTTTGTGTTAGGTCTATTCTGTCTTCTCTTTTTTAATATAGCATTGGAGTATTAATATAGTTTGGGGATTTCCATAATGATTTTACATTTCAGAATTTTAAATTTTCTTAAGCCTGTTCTCAATTGGAGTGTGACAAACAAATAATCAGTATGGTGTCATAAGTAAAATATTTCATTTTTTCATTAATGACAAAATTTGTGTGGCCCTACTAAAACTATTATTGTAGCTTAAATTATTTTCACACATTTTCAGAAAAATTATCATGAAATACTGCTTAGCAGAAGGTATATGTAGTTTCTGTAAACAAGTTTTGTAAACTTGTTTCTGAGAGCATCATACATTTCTGCAATTTGCTTTTTTTTCTCAGAACTTTGAGTTGTGTGAGTTAATTTGTGTGGCATTAAGTTCAAACCTAAGCATGATAAATGCTGTTAGTTGAAAATCAATGCATATTTACCAAGTATAGGTGGCATAATTCAAAGAGAAGTTGAGTATACACTATTGCTCTTCTGTAAACCTTTGTTCATTATCCATACCCTATTACTATTGCGGCTTTCAAGGCATATTTTGTTGCTGTGTGTTTTCAAGAAATATTGAACATTTTTGTCCTTTATACTGTGTAACAAAAATTAAATATAAATTCTTGTTAGAGACAATTTTAGGGTTTATGAATTGTTTCCTTATTACTTCAGATGCAGAAGGAAATTAAACATAATAACAAATTTTTATTTGATTTAGCAAATCCACAAAAGTAAACAGGACTGTTTAACAATGAAAAACATCCTCATGAAGGAATATATCTGTTTTCTTCATAAATGAGTTGTTCAAGGTTCAGATCCAGTTTAAGCTGCCATACTGTGTTAGATTGATTTGCTCTTAACATTGAACTATTGAGAGATTGCTTAAAGAACAGTTTTATTGACTGAAAAATGATTCCTCATACAACTAAAGACTTGTATTTATATTCGCGTATCTTGTAAATTAGATACCTTTAGAAAAATGATACGGGAATAAAGCTTCTCTAGAAAATCTGGTAGAAGAGGAATTGTATTACCTTGGTTTTAAAGGATGATATTGCTTCTGAATAGCAGCAGTATCAATGGATAATCTGAAAACTGTATAATCTAAACTACAGTTTAATTTTGAATGGAAAATTGCTGTCCTTGGCAAGGTGTCATGATAAGCAATCATGAGAATTGCAATTTTTTTTCTTTAATTATGTTCTGTTCTCAATCTCAGAATCAAATTGCTAAGAAGAATTTTAATGGAAGTTTATCGTTTATTTAATAACTGTGGCGCTTAATATGGCTTCAAGTTTTATTTGATTAATTCTTTTTCTTGTCTTAGAATTGTTTTGTGAGATAATTTGTTTCACTCTGCAAATTGGAAAGTACATTACTCATTGGTATGTCCTCTCATCTTTCCAGAAAACATAGATGTAGATACTCGTCTTACAGAATTGTGTGAAGAAGTCAAGGTACAGGGCTTTTTTTTCATGTATTAAATAAGTGAAATGACTATAAAAGTAGAATGTGCTGATTTTATATGCTACTTGGAAATAAACTGTTTGTTTCAGGGATGACAGCATGTATGTTTTTTGCCAGCATTTATTTCAACTCTTCCTCCAAAGAGAAATTGTGCAACTGATGCCAAAACTGAACTGTTGATCTGGTGGCTTGGTGTGTCAGTGTAACTATAATATATCATGTAACTATATATATCATGAAACTGAAAGTTTAGAAAGCTTCATTAGTTGTATGAAAATCACTTTTTGAATTTTCTGCAGTTATAATTTGATTTTTTGGGGTTTGATGGTATCAGATAACAATGACACAAGATCAAGCAGTGGCAGGTTTTACAAAAGGAGATTCTGCAAGTCATCTCCTCATCTGAAAGTACTTGTTCAGATGCTGTCTCCTTTTCCTGTTTTCCCTACATTCTCAAGGAGACACTGTCTACTTTAAATGGATTAGATTTGTCTCCCCATCCTTTGTCACAACTAGCCCCAGCTGAATAACTGATTTCTTGGTCAGAGCAAAGTCTAAAGGACAGGTTTTAAAACTTCTTGAAAGATTATCCATGCTCTGCTGGCGAGTGGGCCATCTGCCCAACTTGGAAGAACATTTAACTCACTTTTAATTACTGCAGTAGTAGTACAATGGCAAGAAAATGAAATATGGCCTTTAAAAGGACATAATTTGTATAACTGGAGACAAATTCAGCACTGCTACTTCTCTATGAGCAGCTAATAATCTTACTTTACATATTAAAATAATTCTTATATTTACATAGCTTCTCTGAATTTGTTAGTTTCTCCCTTAGCTTGCTAAACATCTTCTGTTTTCTTTTTTTTCTTTTGTACAGTCCTTATCAAAAGTTTCTTTATTTATCTTATTATTGGTTAAGTTAACCATATTCCATATTCCCAATCCTTTTTTCTACTAGCTCTGTAATATTTCTAGAGTTGTCTCTTTACTATCTTTTTGTTTTAAACCCTTTTCCTCAGTGCCTTATGTGCCTACAATGAATTTCTGAAAAACTGTTATTTTCTAAAATGGAAGGGCACATAAGCCTAGCTATCTACAATTGCTGTGGGACTGTATCACAGGATTATAGTATGTTGTAAAGAAAGCAAAACTTGTTTCACACCGAATTTGTCTTGGTGTGATCTGGTTCTAAGAAGCCTGCGCTATAACAATGCTTTCTGACTATGCATAAAATGTATGTAGATACATAGCATCTTATAAAGGTTATTGTGAGTATATTCTAGAATTATTCTGAAGAGATATCTTTATTAAATTCTTACGATTTTATCAAAGTTGGACTAACATAGCAAGTGTCAATTTTTGGTTTCCTGATTCCTCTTCCTTTAAGGCACATGGTATTTTTGTATGTTAGAAAATACAACAGTTGAACTCAGTTATCTTTGTCATAAATGGAATTATTGTCTTAATTTTTGGACAGGAGTCCTAATTCTAAAAAGCAATGGGATAGTATTTAATGCAACAGAAAATAATCTATTACTGTTGTAACATAAATTGATTCAGTGTCTTGGTTTGAGGACACTGTAGGACATCCAGTTTTGATACTTAGTTGAAACAGTTCTCATTTGAAAGTTGCTTTTTAAACTAAAATTCTCACTAAGATAAAGTATACTTTTTTTTATTCTTGTCTGTACATTATGGTTTCATCAGTGAATCACGTAAATATTTTTTCCTGACTTCAGAAAATGGAAAATCCTGATGAACTGGCAGAACTTATAAATATGAATCTTGCTCAGCTTTGCTCACTTCTGATGGCTCTCTGGGGGCAGTTTCTGGAGGTCATTACCTTACAAGAGGAGGTCACAGCTTTGCTAGCACAGGAGCATCACACATTAAGAGTAAGTATTGACCCAGGGACCTTCATATGCTTACTGGGACACATTGTTATGGAAATGCATATCAAAATTCAGATTACCGTTTTTCTATTTATATTTCAGAAAGCTGGTTGGAATTGTAAAGGGAGCTGTTGCATTTCATTTGTTACCGTGTATGTAATGTATTATGTAGTTGGAATAAAATGCATAAAGCATATTATTTATGTTTATGAGCCAAGTAATTCACTGCTCTTTTGAATAAGAAATGCAGTTTAGAAGGCAAATTACAGGCTGTGGAATAACATATATTTGTGTAGACTGATGTGCTTTTCTGTGGGAGCCATGTCTACTGCCCACCATACATTTTCCTTCTCTGCTGCATTTAGGCTACCTGCTTATGTCATAAACAAAGTGTATTTCTTTCTGGAGTAAGAATTTATGGCGTTAATAATTTTTGAAATGGTTCTTACATGGAATATTATAAAAGAAGTGTATGTGAAATGATCAGGCACGAGTATTTGTGTACTAACACATCTGTAGTGCTGTTGGTCTGTCTATGGGTGTGTTCAATTGCTGTGGGCTCTCTGCAAGCAGAACCACAGCAGTGGTATTCTCACAGTGAAATATAACTGAGTATCGAATAAAGCCTTACTCTTACTTGATAAGTCACATTGTTTAGTGAGGAAATTGTGGTTGTGGAAATAGCCTGTTATGGAAGATAAATGGAATCTTTCAGAAAGAACACAAGGATTATTTGTTTGATGTGCTAGCTATAAGAAAGGGATCATGTTATTGTCTGTCTATGAATCTGACTTGCCTTTCTGTGGTTTTTATTAAATAGTGGAATCCCTCAGGTTAACTGGTGGAAGGTATGAAACAGAATACTATTTCATTTAACCTGCATTTGCATTCAGCTTCTGGTATGTTAGTGTTTGTACAAGTGTATATTTAGTAAAACCAAAGGAAGAATAAATTTGTTAATTTTTACTGCTCCAGAAAAGAGGCTGCTAATGATTATGTATTTATCTTCTTAAATGTGGTTCTTTTAAAATCTGTGATGTAAGTTATTCTCCTTAGCATAATAAATGCCTTAATTATGGAGTTTTCCTGCAATTGTTTTAGGAAGTATAAATCAAAGAATTTAATTATACTATGGGAATTGAGATATTAAAACTATTTCTGTGATGCTTTCCATTTCAGAAAAAAATCAAATAGGATTTCCCTTCCTCCCTATGAAAAGAAAAAAGTATAGTTTGATTTCACATCTGAATGCTCTGTGTCATTTGGAGTTGCTGTTATGCTCACTCCTTTTGTTATCTGTCACTGTGCTTTGTGGATACTCTATAATCAAGCAAGGACTGGAGAGGAGATGCAAGGCATGGGCAATCTTAAAATTACATTTTTATTTAGTGCCTGATAGCAGAAAGCAAGCAGGCTGACTCTGTAAAAATTGCATAATACAGCATTTTTATCTGAGCCAACCTGGATAGAACCAGCAATGTGTTATTACTTCATTTTTAAATGGACACTTGTTTTCTGCACTCCAAGATGATATGAGTTTGTGTGAATACTTTGCAAATATATGTAATTAAAATAAATGTAAGAAACCATTGCTCCACTGGGCTTCCTATGTGGCAGTAGAGCAGGAACTCACAATCCATAAATTCAGTAAACTTTTAAATGAAAAAGAGATGCTAAATTTCAGCCTTCTGTTTTCTAAGAGTATATTCAGTTGTTGGTTTTGGATATTGTTTTGCAGTGCTAAGTATAATAAATTGTAACTTTTATTAATAATACCTTGAGAATTTATATTCAGAGGGATTGTATAAACATACCTTGGGAAATCTACAATGATAATCATGTTCCACTGGAGCTATTATCTGCATATACCAAGTGATGCAGGCTTTCTGGTTATTTGATTTAGTTGATACTTAAAAGATGATCCACTAATACTCCTCTTTGGAGACTATATGTTGACATTTAGAGTCATGGAATTTTTTAGGTTGGAAAAGACCTTTAAGGTCATCAAGTCCAACTATCAGCTTGGCACCACCACGTTCAGCATTAAGCTAGATCCCCATGTGCTGTATCTAAACGTATTTTGAACACTCCTACAGATGGTGATTACACCACTTCCCTGGGCAGTCTGTTCCAATTCCTTACAACTCCTGTGAAAAAAAACTTCTTAATATCCAACCTAGACCTCTCCTGGTACAACTTAAGATCATTTCCTCTTGCCTTTTCACCTGGGATATGGCAGAAGAGACCAATTCCCACCTGGCTACAACCTCCTTTCAGGTAGTTGTAGAGAGTAATGAAGTCTCCCCTGAGCCTCCTATTCTCCAGGCTAAAGATGAATCACTAATTCCCCTCTTAAGAGACTTACCTATCCTTTCTTGAATGAGGAACCTTTTTATTTTGGAAATGGATACTTTGATGTGTTCGCTACTGGATGCTAAACCTCATTTTGTCTTTTTTTCTTGCAATATTTCCAGACTATGCTTTCCACAGGAAGTTTCTCCCTGGGAAAGTTTATTAATGAACCCTTTTAGGGAGTGATTGGTCTGAGTAGTTATGATATTTATGTTAAAATGCCCCCTACAAAGGCCTGTCACCTGTATTTGGTCAAATTATTTTCACCCTCTTTGCCCTGATGCTTGTAAAACAGGTGTTTCTGCTGAAGACTTGTTCAAGTATTGAAATTATTTTAATAATTATGTTTACTTAAGTGTTTCAAAATGTAACTATTTTCAAATACTTGTAAAAGCACAATATTAAAAAATGAGGAACACTTTAGGCAGAATTGAACATCCATCTACTACATGATCATACTGATAAGGTTTACAAATGTATTTTATTGAAAAAAATGCTCAGAGTATGTTATTTTATATTACAAATAGTGTTTCAACACTAAACTAGTTCATCTCTTTGTTCTGTAGTGACATCTTCTGGTAGGTCTGAATATATTCTTCCAAAATTATTTCTTTCAGTTTGATCAGTCCAGGATAAAATAGGAGAGCTGAAAACTAAGATCTCTGACCGCTATTTATAAATATGCAGACACACAATATGTATTCCACAGCAGTTTTTATACACAGTATACTTCTGTTTACATTGGGAGGACCATAAAAACCATGCCTCTGGGAAGTCTGTAGAGATTAGGAGTAGCAGCTGCAATTTCCTCCTGTAAAGTCCTTGTGGAGTCAGCCCAAGTCAGTGGTTCCTGCATCATTAGCAGAGCTGGCAGTCCCTCTGGCTCTGCAGAGCCTGTTTAACAGTGTCCTAGCAAGTGCCTCAGTCCTTCAGTAAGTTAAGCACCAATTAAACATAATAAACTACTGTTGGTTGGGGTTCTTTTCTCTCATTAATAAAGACACGTGCTTTTGGAGCTTGCTTTCAACTAGTTTTATACTGTTGCTATTCTACTTGGAGCTGTCTGGAGCTGGTAATGAGATTTTCTTCAAAAGCATTGGAATTACTTAGTTACGAATGGGATTTATTGCAAATGAAAACGTGCCTTCTGTTGGAAAGAGTGCAGTATTCTAAATATCTAGTCTCCATATAACTCCAATTACTTTATGTGGTGAAATGCTCACATCTAAACACTACCTTGCTTGCTTCCTGGGAAACAGCTGTGTGCCCTTTTCTTGACATATACCACAGACATCTACTAATTTGGAAATGTTACCTGATTGATTAGGATCTTTAATTAATTTTTAAATGGCTTAATTTAAAATGATAATGTCTTCTCCTCATGATCAGTTGTTCAAAAATCTAGTTTTTAAGCAATAAAACTGTCTCTTAAGTCTATTGTATAACAGTCCCCCCTTCCTGGGGGAAAGGGTGGGGATTAGCTCTGAAAAAATACGTATTTGCAGGGTAGATGTCTGTTTAGAAAAGCCAGCTGGGAAAATGCTGCAAATTACTTGGGAACATCAATTCTAATCCCACATATGTATGTATAAACTCCTAACAACAAATTCTGAAAGAAAACAAGTTGAGTTCTGGAAAGAGTGGAAGTTGTGTTTACAAGAAACCTGCTGCATTTTGTGTTTTCTTTTCACTTCAAAGCGTTTTCCTTAACTATTCAGAGATGGTGTTATGACTAAGATTAATTTGATGTAATACAGTACAATAAAGTCTGGGAGGTTGGGACAGGACTTTAAATTTCTATTGCAAGTTAGAGATTGGGGGTAAAATGTTTTTGATTTAGGACTGGATTTTTTCTTAAGTACTTTGGAAGAATCTTTTCCTCAGTTCTTCTTGTATTAAGAAAACAAGTTTAGAAGCTACAGAACCTAAAGTTAATCCAAGTGGTACTCTCTAAAAGTATACTGGGCAGTGTATCAGGAGGGAAAATGAGCTCTCATGCAAGTGGTTATCTCTGAACAAAATTAATGTGGCCCTGAAAATCTGATGTTTGCCAGTTCATGCACAAGATGTTCATAGAGCCATGCTTGTGCTCTGGGTGGGTGCAGATGCTGGCTGCAGCTCTGAGTGGGAGAGCTGAGAGAGCTGAACTAGATCTTCACACTTGTTGCCAATTTCACACTGAAAACTCCCACAGTCTGTTCAGGAAGTTCCATAATTTAAGAGGAAGACCCAGAGTATATTGAAGAAATAAAGATATAGGAGGCCAGGAAGTGCTTGGTAAATAAATTATTGATTTAGTAGACTAGCGGGCAATGCTCGTAGTGGGATAGAGGTTTTGTTTAAATTGATACAACCAAATTAACATTAACAATCAGTTGCCAACAACCATGGCACAGCACGTTCTCTTTGGTTTGCTTTTTTCTGATGCAGGTAATTTGTAAGTTAGAAAAATAAAGCTCATATTGATTGAATTAATATTTATATAGAATATTGGAAATGTGAGAAATACAAAACTTTTGGGGTTTTTAGATACTACATTTTCACATTTTTACTACATTGGTTGTTTTATTTGCAGCAAATTGCTGTATAATTCACATTCTATATTTTAGCATGTATTTGAAGGTAAAACCTTGATGGTTTAACACATTTGATGGTAAAAAATATGCTCCCATGTGTTGTTAAATACCACTTCAATGTTGTATTGTTTATTGACCTCAGGCATACAATTAAGTCTTTAAGTCAGTGCTTATAATTAATGTACATTCTGTTACTGTCTTCATCATTTCCACACGAAATCTTTGTAAACAAAAGATTCTTTTGCACAGTAGTTTACTGTGGGCTAGAGAGTACTTATGGGAAGCTTGAAAACACTCCTGTATATTTTGAGACTGCAGAATATCTGATGGGTTTCTGCTTCTGAAGGTAATACTCAGGCTCATTCAGAAGTGTCAATTGAACAGCCATTTCCTTTCTTCCCATCAAAATTTCCAATAATATTTTTATGTTTTATTGTCTGAGCCTGATTTGGATGATTGATTTATTGGAAATCAAATTTTCAGCAGGCAGTTGAGTCTAATATAATTCCCAGTCATCCAGAGCACAAATTAAAATTGTTTCGGTCACTAGTCTTGTCTGCGGCACCCATCCAGAATGAACATCCAAAAAAGAAAAAACCTCTGTATTATACATACAAATGATACATTGATGCATAGGAATGCTGATGGATTTTTAAAAATTATTTGTAAGGTAAAATAAGCTCTGCTTTCATTTGGATCTTGCAGGTGCGCAGATTTGCTGAAGCATTCTTTTGCTTTGAGCATCCTAGGCAAGCTGCTCTTGCCTTTCAAGAACTACAGTGAGTACCCTTTGTAATTCCACAGTATATAGCATGTAGTACTGTTGCTCTGTAGTTTATCTTGTGTAGAAGTAGCATTGCAAAAATACATACAAAATTCAAGAGAAACTTTTGTTCTCAATATAGATATAAAGTACTGGAAGTTATAAAAGAAGTTATTAAATAATCAAGCTATTAATAGTTAATTAGTATAAAAGCTTCTACTAAAATTAATTAAACTGTTGGTAATTTCTGTTAATGTAAAAATAAATAGTTCTGTTTTTTCATGGAGGACTGCTTCCTTTTTTCAGTGCTCAAAGTCATCTACAGGTGTGTGCAGCTATCAAAAACATTTCCTTCTGCAGTTCTCTTCCACCCCTCCCTATTGAATGCAGTGAACTAGATGGAGATATGAACTCCTTGCCTATTATCTTTGAAGATCGGTATTTAGATTCAATTACAGAAGGTAAACACACCTCATAGTACAATTTCCTTTCTGAAGAAATGAGCAAAAATTATGTAACACTTGAATATTTTTTCATAAATTTCTTGCTGTCTTTAAAGGACTATATTTATTTGAGAGGATGTGGGTTTTAGCTTCAGTTTTGAGGATGTGTAAAATTCTATAATTGCTAGTGTGTTACAGCATCACTTATCTGCATAACCTTATTGTAAACATACTTTCTCTTCCCCCCGCCCCCCTTTTCTGTGACAGATTTGGATGTACCCTGGTTGGTAGCTCAGAGTGTTCCAAGGGCAGAGTCCAGTAAACTGGATAAATCTGAAGCTGAAGAAGGTTTTGTTGCTGGTTTTACTAGCCCAGAACTGAAAACAAGACCTGCTGGTACCTCCGTTGTCTGGCATTCAGAAGCTGAAAAGATGCTAACAAAAACCTCCAAAGGGAAAAATGAAGATACAAATAAATCCAAAGCTAAGGTTGCTAAGCTCATAAAAACAATAAAAGCTGAAAACACAAAAAAAGTAGTAAAACAGAACTCAAAGGACTCTGTTGTGTTAGTAGGCTACAAATGTTTGATAAGTGCAGCACTGGAAAATGCCTGTAGAAGGTTAGATGGTGAGCCTTCATACAATGCTAACGAAGGGCTGGACCCTAGAGTAGGTGGAATTCCTTGTGATACAAAGGCCTGCATCAGGCAAATAACTCGAAGAGACCTTCCATTGTTGCCATATGATGAAATGGCTGTCAAGACTGAAGGTGACCAACCAGGTCCAAGTAGTCCTGTGCACTGTGAAAATGAGGCTATTTTTGATAGACTGACTATCTCCCAGACAGGTTCTGGAACTATTCAAGCAGATAGTGCTGTACAACACAGAGGTACACTTGAAGGTTGTCATTATGAAGAGGAGAAAGGAGTGGCTCACACTGGATCATGGGCTAAGTTTCCACAAGATGAAGTTCACAAAGAGGATTTGCTGACACCTGATGTTCAGTCTTCAGAATCTGGAAATAAACTGAAATTGGGAGAACAGGAACCCATGCTTGAAAAGGAAGAGGTCCATGAGAGAAACTGTCAGCATACCAGTGACATCCTGACAAAAATGAAAAGCAATCCACCTACTCTTCCAACAAAAGAAAACCAAATCTCTGCAAGTGGAGACATGACTAAATTACCAGATGTTAGTGTGACGTATGCCTCTTCTAGATTTTCAGATTCAGGTGTAGAAAGTGAACCAAGTTCTTTTGCAACTCACCCCAACCCTGATCACGTTTTTGAAAATGTTCATGGACAAAGTGCACACAATGGTGAGAGAGTGTTTCCTCAGCCTTTACTAAAACCTGATTGTGTAATAAAAAACACAATCGAAAGCCATTGCACTGAGAGTACAAGTGCTGTAAGTGAAATACAGTCATCCCTGACATCCATAAATTCACTGCCTTCAGATGATGATGAGCTGTCTCCTGATGAGAATTCAAAGATATCTGTTGTACCTGAATGCCAGCTAAGTGACAGCAAAACAGTATTGGATCTAGGAGCAATTGACTTGCCAAAATGTGATGATAGTAAAACATCAAACACCAATTTGCAGCAACAGCTTGTGTATTCAGGGCACTTAGATAACAGAACTCTATCTATACATTCCTCACTCTCAGGAAAAAAAGATCTGTTACACTCCGTTGTTTCAGATGAGGACACACCTACTGATGTGGAAAGTTATAGCCCACAAACAGGCCCTGGCACAACCTGCAAGGACTCTCAGGACTCTGAAAGGCATCCTAGAGCTACAGAAGAAATATTTAAGTTGTGTTTGGAAACAGCTTGTATGGGTGAGCCATCTGCTGGTTCAGGTTCTTCATCTGTAAATGCAGTGGTTAACAAAACAAACAAAGGAAAACATAATGAGCCTTTAGAACTAAAGAGCCCAACTGAAGAACTGTCAGTAGCTGAAAGTGAAATTGGTACAGATAATCCTTCTCCAGCTGGTAGTGCTGACATGGTAAAGCAAGGGCTTGTTGAAAACTATTTTGGCTCTCAAAGCAGCACAGGTATTTCAGATATTTGGCCTATAGATAACAGCAATCCTATTAGCCCTCAAAAGGAATCATACGAAAAACAAATTATTTGTTCTTCCCAACAAGATGAGGAAGAAGAGGAGGATCACGAAATGATTGAAAATGGATATTATGAAGAAACTGATTATAGTATATTAGATGGAGCTTGCAGTGCTCACCAGGATCATGGCTTAGCAGAAGAGAGAGCCCTGAGATCTGAAATGATTGACAATGGACATCTGCAAGACATAATGACTGTGCCGCCTGTCTGTACCCCTGGTTGTTTGTCTTTCCCTTCTTCTCTGAGAGACTCTCCCTGCAGTGTTACCTCTTCTTCAAAGAATAAATCTGATGCAATTACACAACAGCCAGGCAGCACATCCTACAGCTCAGCCTCAGCTGTTTCCTGGTATGAGAGCTCCCCAAAACCTCAAATGTTAGCGTAAGTGATTGCTTTAAAACAAGCTTTTTACTTCTAGAAATTATGTTACTATAATAGAGAAGGGGAAAAGAAGCATGGTTGGGCTGTAGAATGCCCCAGAACTGTGGCTTGTGGATTCTGCATGTCCAAGTAACAGCATGTTCTAGATGTTCAGATAAAAAGTATCTTAGCATTAAACTTCTTTTATGAGTTATCTTGTAATTTCATGTGGTTTGAAAAACAAGCAAAACAGGATTTTTCTTTGTTATGTTTAAAAAATAATCGTTCAGCTGAAGAATGATGTTGTAATGGCTACTGAGCATAAAAATGGTGTTTTATTAATTGGAAATTGTTAAAATAGCAAGCTTGAAAAAATATGCTTTGACTTGAAAAGCATAAATCAAAAAACATTGTCTAACTGGTTGTCCATTAGATTAGCTAAGTGAAGCAGATGTGTAATGCAAGCTATGGTAATAGCCTTATTTTTAAATCTTAATTCAGATATCAAAAATGTAACAAACACCTTGGAGACCACAGTGCTCTAAATTACACTGCAGTTTGGATACCAGGAAAGCCAAATTTAGAGAAATATTAGGGATCCCAGATTGTACCTCTTCTTCTGTAAACATAAGGATTTCCCTGATAAACCCCTGCTGCTAAATGAACATGTGAAGCAGCAGCTTATGTGTTGTATTGGAAGTAAAATGTTGCTATGAGAGAAAAGAAAATTTAAAAAGAGAGGAAGAAACAAACACTGAGCAGGTGGAAAAGATATAAGACCAGATAGTTTGTGAAAAGCAGCTTGAGAACAGAAAGAAGGAGTGAGCAGTCAGGTGGAGGAAAACAAGTTAGAAGTAGCAGAAAAGTAGCTTTTGAAATACTGTACAGTGGGTACTGGTGTGGAATGGGGAAGAGGAAGAGCAGAGAATACTGAGGCTGTTCTGTAACAATAAAAGTGAACTCAGAATAAAATCAAGGACTTGGCCATGGGAAAAGAAGAGTCTCCTGGAACACGAGATAACTGTGAATCCAGAGGGTATGATCTGCTCTGTAAAGAACCACCCTTGAGTACAAATTCAAGTAGCTTCTGTTGCAGAGTGATAAGAGCAGCTGTCTGCAGTGGTTTCTGTTCAGTGTTTTCTGTTCTGCATTGAGGCCTGCCCCTGCCAGTTAGTGAGGAATGAGCTAAAGATAAAGCTGAGAAAACAGACCAAAAGGTAGAATGAGAGGAAAACAGTGAACAGGCAGAGGAGGATGGGGTACAGCATGATGCCGTAAGGGATCATGCAGAGCAGATGCATTAATGAAGCATATGAAAGCATAAAGCTTTATGTGCTGCAGGGAAACTGATATGTAGTTAGGAAGGCCATACCCAAAAACTAAGGGAAGTGGAAGAAAGGGAGGAAGGAACACAAGAAGCTCTTAGAATGTGAGGATTCTCAGCTATTAAAAATGTTATAGTGTATGTCTTCATAGAATATGTAAATGATAAGAAGTCTGGATCTGGCTGTTTCAGAAACAATTCAGCCTACCACAGGAAACTTATGGTGAGACATTAAAGTACTGAACCCAGCTCTCTTCTGACCTAAGAAATAGGCTAGCAAAAATTATCAATAGTCAGTGAAAATCTTTAACTTCCAATAGGTTATAATTTCTGTATTTTTTTTATTGCCTGGAAACAAAGCTGTTGCTTGCTTAAGACCACAATAAACCCAGCATCTTCAGTGGTTTCAGAAATACTTGAGAGTTTACAAAGACAGAGGAGAAAAGAGAGTAGAGCTTGAGATAATGGTTTTTGTTACAGAGGAAAAGGAGCTGTAGGAATCTGCAGTAAAAATGTTTTGAGGAAATAGCTTATTTTGTGAAAATAGTAATTTGATATTTTCCTTCATACTAATGACATAGAATACAGAGCAAAATGACAGTAGAAAACTGTATCCTGGAAGACCCCACATTTATCTAGCAATAGTAAATGTATAAGTTGGTTTTTTTTGTTGTTCCAGTTTCCTACAGGCTAAAGAAGAATTGAGGCAACTTAAACTTCCTGGATTTATGTATAGTGATGTTTTCAAACTGGCTTCTTCAATACCTTATTTCAGTATGGAAGATGACGAGTGTTCAGAAGAAGGAGTACATCTTATAGTCTGTGTCCATGGCCTAGATGGTATGCTGGGAAATGTGATAGTGTACAAGAAAACAGTTCAGATTACCAGTGAGATTTAACTTTGGTCATTCGAACTCTGGACACCTGAAATAGGTTCACTGAAGGGAAATGGGAATCTGAAATTGTACTGCTACATTTGACAGTGTGTTCCATAAAATCTTTTAAATTAAGAATTCTATGTCTTTAATAAAACTTCCCTGCACATATATCTGTTTAATGCCATAGTTCACGTCAGGTGCATCTTCTAGTTTTTCTCTGTTGAAAGGGCATTTGCCCATATTGTGGTAATAGAATGCAGTTACTGACAAAACTTTTTTCTTTAGAATTTCTGTGTTGTCAAGGAAAATGAAATATGTGTATATTATTAGGAAAAATAAATAGTACATGTAAAAATGCAGTCAAGTGTTTATAAGGTTTTAAAAGGTTAAGTCACTGAATCACGGTGTGGTTGAAGGTGAAAGGGATTACTGAAGATCGTCTTATTCAAATTCCTTGCTCAGAGCAGAGTCACCTACAGCAGATTGCCCAGGATGCAGCCTAGTTGGGTTTTTGAATATTTCCAAGGAAGAAGATTCTACTGTGGTAGAAGTGAGAAAATCTCTTTAATTGAAAGGGTTATAAAGTTTAAATAGCTTGAATGTATTCACCTACTTTTAGTTCAAAGCCTATATGCATATTAAGAAACAATATCCACTCTAGCTTTTGTGCATTTTTGAGATGCTTCTTAAATTGAGAATGTAAGGAAACATGAGAGGGCAGTAGAATAGAGTATTGGACTGCACCAACACTGCACAGGCACCTTCTTCATTTTTCAGATTCCTAATTTAAAAATTAAAATAACAACATAGTTTTTCTTGCCACATTTGGGCAACCTTTGTTGCAGCCTTTGTTAAGTACTTTTAAAAATCGGACTTGGAGGTATTCCCTCTTACTGGTGTAGATACTCTCATGCTGCTGCATGTAGAAGTGGCACAAAAGTTAACTTGACCAAGAAGCCTGTTGTTAAAAAACCATTTGTTTGCAGCCTTAGGAAAGTCTGCATAGTTAGAATTTTCTAATGAAATGACAAGTTTATACAAGCTATTTCCTATAAATGACAGATGTAAATAAAAATCCTGTTCTCTAATTAAGGCAGAAAGGCTACCCTTTCTTAAAAAGTATCCATATGACTGCTGATGTAGAAAAATCTCCAGGATGCTTAAACTAGCATTTGTTGTTTTGGGTACCAAAGTATCTAAAAGTATCTTTGTCTGCTGATAGTTCACTCTGCCTTTTCATTTTATGAAAAAACTCCTTCACTGAATTCTTTAAGCTCACTTTGAGTTCTTTAATTGGCTTTATCAAAATTAATTAGGTTTCCAAGAATGTAATGTTCACAGTGCTATGTATCAGTTGGAGGCTAAGACAAAATCAAATATGACTTCCTACATCCTTGCTTTTTTAAAACTGTTTGCATTGAATGTCATTTTCATAAACCATTTTGTCACTTAATTTGACATTATAGTTTATCTTTCAAAGTCTTACTGAATTTTAATTAGGGCTGAGAATATAATTAGCTGTGTTTAAATATAAAGCTCTGCCAGAGATTCATTTCAATATTCTGAGTGCTTTTATTGCAAGTTAATTTTACAGAATCTAACTCTTGATTGTTTTTCTTTTGAAGGTAACAGCGCAGACCTAAGATTAGTGAAGACTTACATTGAGCTAGGGCTGCCTGGAGGAAGAATTGAATTTCTTATGTCTGAAAGGAATCAGGTATTTGCCAACTAAAAAAGAATTTTTTTAAAGCTATGAACAGTACCAACCTTCAGACACATTTATATAATGGCACTATTGTGTTTACCATGTTTTGTATATTTTTATTGTATTCTCATGGAATCCATTATTTGATCTGTGGCTTGTGTCAAAGTAATTACAAAATCTTCTATGGTACTGAAGGTAAATATTTTAAGGGGCAACATTTGTTACTAACAATTTGTTGTGTGGACTGTCTCCCCTAAGTTCTCAGCATAAACAGTTTGGATTGTGGATAAAATATGCTCAGTACTAGTGGTAAAAATGGTAATAGTGAAAACTGGTGTGGCAAGGAGGGAGATGTGGGATTTCAGAAGATCTGAGAAATACTGAATTCCTGTTGCTTGCTATTTTGTCAGCATACTGCAAGATCTACATCATAACACTGAACAAATATAAAATTACCTCTTGTGTTAAACTTTTGTGAATTTTATTATTTTCTGATGAAGTAAACTTGCCAAAGCACAAAAGACCAATTTTTACTTTTTGTCTGTGTGTATGTGTGTATTATGTATTGTATTAGACATACTTCAGAGATGAACTAGAACAAAGTCTTGTCAGTGGCTCAAACAAAAGCTTCATTTAGTGCACTAGCATTTTTCTGGAAGTAACTGCTGGGATGCTTTGTCAAATAGGCTGGACAAGCACCAGCTTGGGAAGCCAGGCTTTCTCTTCTCTAGCCCTATAGTTTGTGTCAGTCAGCAGCTGTGAGACTTTCTGATTTGTGGATTCTGAGACCACTGAGCCCAATAGCTGCTGACAGACTTTTCTCCTTAACATTGGCTGATTCCTTTTGATTGTTTTTACTTCTGTATCCATAGCATATAGTTGATATTAATTCTGTGGTTTGTATACATTAGTAATTCACTTGCAAACAAGGAAATTGAAATAATTTAATTACAGCTTGTTTTGGAAAAAAATTTCTCAATAATCATTCCTCATTCACTGCTTCAGTTAATCACATATTTTATAAACGAGTACAATTTCTCCTTCAGGAGGCAACTGAAGAGACTTAGTCCATTTATTATTTCTTACAATTAGATGTGAAAGTTCCTGTTCATCCATGATACTGTTCTCAGCCTGCCTGAAACTTCCTGTCATTTAAAATGGAACGATCAGAACTAGACAGGGCATTTAAGATGCATTTGCACTATGGACTGACAAAATGCTATACTGCTATTTTCTTTCCTTGCTTTCCAAACATAGCTGGATATATGCAACAGATAGATGTAATAGATATGTTGATTATTGTTCACATATACAGCTAGGGCTGGTTTTCTCTGTGTAACACTGGTTTGCATTTCTTGCCATTTTATCACAGGCATGCAGTAGTATGAGATTCTTCTGAAATTCTGATTTGTTCTATATTTGACTACCCTGGATATTTAGCTTTGTCTACAAACTGGCGTTTTATCTCTTTCTTTCCTTTCCCAGATCATTTACAAATATGCTGAACACTACAGATTTTAGCACAGATTCTTTGGAACTTGTGTTGAAAAGTTCTAGGCAGACTTTGTCTATCTCTTTTAATTTCTTACTGCTGATCATGGGAGAGAATCAGCTATGAACTGGGGATAAGGCCTTAAGAATTTTGTTTGTTTGTTTCATTTTGAATAACCAGTATTACTGTAGACTGCTGTTGCAGTAATTGTCTCATCTCTATTTCATAAGCAGTGTGATATAATTCTGAATATGCAGTTTGGTCTTCTGTTTCACTACAGATAATCTTAAGTGTAGAGAACAGCTTAGAAGTAAGGCTGGGTGTGTAATGTTAAGATTTGTTTTGGTGTTTTAGAAGAAAGTAGTCTTAAAGTAAAATGTGTATCACTTTATTCCATGTTACAGGAAAATGACATGAAAAATTTATTATAACTAGCTGTAGTGTTTTTATTCAGAGTTAATATTGATGCTTTTATTTGTGTGCTGTTGATCAAAACACTGGGGAGTAAGAATTCAGACTGAATGCAGAATGTATATTGCTGCATTAGAAAATACAGTTATTATTTTTTATTTCTTTTATTTTACAGAATGATACCTTTGCTGATTTTGATTCCATGACAGATCGTCTTTTAGATGAAATTATACAGTATATACAAATTTATAATCTACCCCTTTCAAAAATCAGGTAATATCTGTTCTATACTATTTACAGAAATAAACTTGAAACTAGAGCCCTGGGTTGTTTTAAACTGTGATGCTCAGGAGCAGGCCAAAAGAGAGATGGTAAAAAGCAGTTTGGGTCAGGGGAGGAGTAGGGGAAAGGAGGACAATGGAGAGAGAGGGAATTGCCAGGTGAAAGACTGAACAATGCTGTAAGCATCTGTTGGTGGTTTTAGGGTAGAGATTAAGCATTACATTTAAGGAATTGCTTTCCTGTGCTTCCACAAATTCTGCAAAATTGAATTCTGCAGAAAAGCAGATAGTATTTTGAGAAAGTCAAAGGAACCTGTAATGGTACTATGCCACGATGAAGTTAGCTTCCTTCTGATTTTATAGTCCCTTCACCAAGTATGACATGGCAGACTGTCTTGTCACTCCTACAGGGCGCTTTCATCTTACCTGTGATGTTGATGGGCAGCTGCATGAAAATATTTTCATTATTTTTTATGTTTTCTGATCGTTTTGTCTGCTAAAGAGCATGTTTTACATCTTATTAGAGGGCTTACCGCAATCTATGCATTCCTGTTTTCTTTTACATTTACTTCCAGGGAATGCCCATTACATTTATTTTCTCAAAGTAGGATGTACCATTTGGGCAGACTACCTTACTAACTCAGCAGTGATGCTGCAGTTAGCTCATCAGTAGATGGAAGGAGCTAATTCAAGCCTGACTTCATCCATTTATTTAGGCATCCTCAAATTACACATCCAGAAAGTTTTTTGACTTGCTAGTCACATGTTTCTGAAAAGTTTCTGCGTTCACGTGTTTGGTAGGCCTTGTTCAGATGGAGGAAACATCTAAAACTTTTAAACATAATCTCACTATTTAAGCAAATGTTTCTGTTTTGAGATAGGCAAGATTTGGCATGCTTAATTTTGTCTAAACTGTTGATTTAAAAATTTAAAAAGCACTGTGTGATCATATTTTTATTTCACAGACTACATGGTAGGACCCTTGGTATGTGAGAGAAGAGTTCTGTAACCCACAAGCATACACCAGGATCTTCTCTCCCATGCTGTTGTCTGAAGACTCTAATGAGCAAACCCACCCACTTATCTTCTCACTGTTTATACCTGAGAACTGAACTCTTGTTTACTTTTGGTTTGCTTCTCTCATAAGACTTCCGATTTGTAAATATTTTTCACTTTTATTTGTTACTTGTCACTTTAGAAAAAAAAGAAACTATGAATTTTTATTTTAGTTTCCTTTTTAAGGTGTATACTTGTCTTGGGCCCTACTGAAGCAGAAGTTTTCATTCCTCAGCTTAAGCTTTTCTTAAGAGAAAGTTCAATCTGCCAACAAATCCTGCAGCTGTTCTCTGGTAGCTACATGAGAGAGCTGTTAGAACATGTTCCTCTCTGTGAAGCCTTGAATGGACGACCCAGAAAGCCTGGGAAAGTACTGCTGAGAAATCTGCTCAAGACACCAATGCTTTCCTGCCTCATTTTGGTTGTACCATTGTAGAAGGTAGTTCTTGTAATCTGTGGTGTCCTGAAAGATGCTGGTTTCTCTTCATAAAATCTCCCAGTCTCCTAAAGGAAGTGTTCTCTTTAGAAGTGCTGCTCCATAATCCAGTAAAAATAGACATCAGCCTCCAGATCTGTGATTTTGTATGGCAAAAAAAGCCGATATCCTAAGATGGTTGGATTCCGTCTTGCTTAAGCAGCTGGACATCAGCATCCCAGGGCTTCATGATAAAGACAATGATGTTCATGGTGGGAGTTTTAGCTTCCTTGGCCTTGGGTCTGGATAGATTAATTTCATATTTCTGTATTTCCACTTGGCACAATATGCTCTTTCTTTTGTTTCCCGTTTACTCATTTTCACCTCCCATTCTCTGTTATCCCGAATGCCGGCTTTTTCACCTGAGTTACACAACTGTGCTCCTGCAGTAACCATAAATAGACCATTGGGGATCACTGCCATATGATACCTGTACCTACAGTCTTCCACACCACACTTCATTCTGGTGATACACAGTTCAGGCCACACAGAATAACTACTTGTTATTAGAAACTGTAGTGGAACTAAGGCAAATTTAGACCTGATTTGGTACTTCACTGGTAGATGATTGTTGTCACAGCTTAAACAAATCCAAATCATCTCAGGTCAAGATAAGTCCAGAGCTGTTCTGAGATTCTGCCCTTTATTCAGATAAATGCAGAGCCTCATGTGCTCTGAAGTAATGGTGAACTCTTACTTACTGTGCTACATTCCTGTACTGAGAAAAGACGCTCCCTGTACCACTGGAATAGTGTCAGCTTCAGTAATCATTATTGAGCTATATAATCATAATTATATAGTTTGGAGAGCTAATATCAGTTATTGCAGCAATTCACTATCTGACACATTCGTTCATCTCTGAATAAAATCTTTGTGCTCACAACAAGAATTCAGCAAGCATGAGCTGGAAGTTTGATTCAGAAGAAATGCAATTTGCTGTATGAAAGAACTGGTTAGTAAAGAATCACAGGAGGCTTTAGGTTGAGGGGACATCTGGAGGTCAGTTGGACCCATCATACCAATGCCACCATCAAAGTTAATGCAGCTTTAAAGCATGTCAAATTGGTCAGTGATACCCATTCAAGTTTGGAATATCTGTGAAGATAGAAGCCCTCCCAGGTATCTAGGCAGCTGGGGAATAAACCACCTGCTCTTGTAGTGTAGTTTCAGAAACCATTTTGCACATGTCAGGTCTTACATAAATTTCTGATGACTTGTGTTGGACTTTGACCTCAGGCAGATTAATCAGGTTGTCATCCTCTTCCTTAAGTAACATTGGCTCATAAAAAAACCTGAAAGTTTTTAATGCTATGCATATATTAAAACATCTTTTTTCTTTTTTTCAGCACCTCATTGATTATGACTCTTGATTGATTTTTCTTCCTTACATGAATTTTTTGTAGTTGGACAATATTTTTGTTATTGGCACAGAATAATGAGGTTGTCTCATTTTCTGATGGTGTCTGAGTTTCTAGTATGATCTGAATTGGTAGATTTGTATCATAAAGCATTTATAAAAACACTAATTCTGTTAACTTCAGTGTGCTAATGATACATTCAGAATACTGTAATATTGCCACCTAGTGTTCATTGCTTTTGAACAGCATCTCATGAGTAGGATGGATTACATTCCTGTCTTACACTTTCAAGACCCTTTTTGAAGGATTTTCCTTTTCCTGCCCTTTTTGATTTGAGCAAATTTTTAAACCTTTCTCTATTAAAAAACAAATTTAAGCCTTATTATGTGTTCACCTAAGCATCTGGATTGGACAGCAATGTATTACTGTAACCTTTAGTATATTTCTAAGGCTTTTCAAATTAAGTACAAGTGTTTAATCTTTGAGGAATTTTGTATCCCCTTATGACTTTTAATAAATACTGTCTGAACTGTAGGAGTACTGTCAAGAGAGTATCTCTGCTAATGTTCAAATCTTCTTTAGAAAACAATCTGTTTTACTCAAAAGCAGAGTCTGATCATCTTCAGGATCAGCTCAATTTCTGTGGGCATTTACTGGTTCTTAAAGAAACCTGTGGTTTTGTTGCTTTAGTGTGGATTTTGTTGCTTTAGTGTGGATTTTATGATGTCCTTGATGTCCTCCAAGGGAATAGTTTTAAATTTTAGTATTCAAGATCAGTATTTTGTTTTGCAAATGCACTGCTGTTGTGCTCACACCACAGAGGATACATAATCTTTCATTTCAAAATTAGTTAGACAAATATAATTTGAATTTCTCATACAAATAATATTGGAAATCTAGTAGTAAAAGCAACTGAGAAGAATATACATACATGATTAAACTGTGTATTAATAATAAGCAAAAAACTTTTTTCTGTCATAGAAATGCATAATTATTTTGGAGTTTAGGAGTTCAGGGTAGTTCTGCCATTCTATAACCAATTGTTTGAATTGTTTTATTTACCTTTAAATTGGTATTTTCCAAGGCAGTGATTCTTGCTTGGGAAGCATTTAAACAGTCAAGTAATCTTTTAGCACTGTATTTTACACAGATGTTATAGAAAACTTTGTTTGAGCTACTTTCATTGATGAATGTAGTGATACAAAGCAAACAGGAACGATGACCCTAGAGGTACAATACTGTAGCACATATGTGAGCCAGCAATGATAGTTCTCCTGTAAATAATTTTGGATGGTTTTCTCTTTTCACATATCCTGGGGTTGCATCTGTAATGCAGGAAGGCACTTTTTCCTTTTAACTTTGTGGGTCTGGTCCCTACCATATAGTCTTTAAGTCAGTGCCTAGTGTGGTGTGGTCCTTACCTCAGCAGGGATCTGTAAGCATAATAACTAGAATTGCTTAATTTTATAGTGTCTGTTTTATAGAAATGCTTTATATAGGCTTGTGTATACGACAGTAAGCACCCCACATTAAGTAATGTTTATTCTTAGGTACATGAAGCTAAAGAGTCCCATCCATCTTTCCCTTATATTGCTTAACCAGGGAAACACCTAAAAGCAATATTGTCCTGACAGAGACATATTCTTCAATTGCTTGCTCAAGCTGATAGTCACTTCTTTTGGTCAATCTGTTAAGCAGATCTGAGATGTTGCTTCTGTTTTTAAATAATCAGGTTCAGTTAAGTAATAGTTTTCCCCCTATAAAGACTACCTTTGGAATCTGTCTCCACTAGATTGTTTCAGGAATGCTCATACATGTATCACATTGAGTGCCATCACATGACAAAGTAATGATGTTTTCAGTCACACATGGCTCATGAAATATTGTAATATTTCATGTTGATGCTAAGGGAAATTAATCGAGAAGTAATGTTGGGTTTGGGTGATAGATGTTTGTGGAAAGATAGTTTGGTTTTGATAGCTTTTCAAAAAATGCTGTATAAAATATTTCTGGAGGAGTTCAGAACATATTTATAATGAATTTGTGCAGCTTAAGAGATATGGACAAACTGTGCTTTCTGTATGGTTTAAAATACAGGTCTGAATGAAAACTTTTCATTAATTTCTTCCTATGCTATTTTAGCATTTCATGACACTGATTTTCTTTTTCTTTGTTACAAGAAAAAAAAAAATCCTGCCATAAAATTCCATGTTATATTGCCTTTTTTTTTTTAAACAGCTTTATTGGACACTCACTGGGTAATTTAATAATCCGTTCAGTGCTCACAAGACATCGATTTAAGTATTACCTCAACAAACTTCATACCTTCCTGTCTCTGTCTGGACCACATCTTGGTACCCTCTACAACAGCAGTGCTCTTGTTAATACAGGTGAAGTATTATTTTCAGTAGTATTAGTTTAGGGGAAATCTTGTCTTTGAAATGCACTTAGCAATTTCATATGGGGTGCACATTTCTGCATTACTGTGATTTTGAGAAACTGTATATTTCACTGTCATAAGCAGAGAGAAGGGTAATAAAAATAAAGTATCAATAAAAGGATGTGCAAGAGGTGATTGGCATAAGTATTTTCCAGTATGTTTGGTTCAGGTTTTCTGTTGCAGCATAAATAAACTCCAGTTTTAATCTGTTGAGCTCAATTTATTATAAACTGAATTTGAATATATTTAATCTGCTGAACAATTAGATAAAATAAATTTAAATTATTCTGAACTGTTGGTGTCTTTACTCTCTCAAAAATGCCTTACAGCCTGCAGTGTGTTTCTGCAGATGTGCATGGCAAGGGAGGCAAGATTTCCTGAAAAGTCATACAGTTACTATTACTATTACTACTACTACTACTACTATTATTATTATTGTTATTGTTATTCTTATATTAATTATTATTAATATTATTATTTTTGTTTTATTATTATTAGTAGTATTAGTATTAACTTATGGAGAGAATATAGCACCATAGAAAACATTCTACTATGGTATCCCTGTGGGAAAATTCTGCTTCTTTTTTTCAAGTTACATTTAATGAGTTCAGTTTAGAAACTGGAGAAGTAATGCCTGTTGTTTTTTGAACATCAAAATGTTCTACTATTATATAAATTATTGAAATAGAATGTGTATGTTCTAGCTAACATTACTGTATTTACACTTTCTGGAAGTTTTTTTTTGTGGGCAGGCATGTACATTAGTGGAAATAAAGGCTTTCATGATTTATTGTATAGATAGGATAGAAAATGAAAATATAAACTGTTTCTGACTTTGATAGTGCTTACATGAAAAGTAAAATTAACATCTGAGAGATTGTTATGAACTTTACGTATTATACTTACATTTAATTAGTTTTCATGTTTTATTGTGGATCTATACTCATGTTGTACCTAACAATACAGGACTGTGGTTTATGCAGAAATGGAAGAAGTCTGGTTCTTTATTGCAATTGACATGTCGAGACCATTCAGATCCACGACAGACATTTTTATATAAACTTAGTAAAAAAGCAGGTAAGCTTTGTTAATCCTTCCTATTCTTAAATGCAACTGGGCACAAATGTAAAGAGGAAACTTGGAAAAAAAAGAACTTATTTTCAAAAACCTCATTTCAGTTTTAAGATTTAAGAATTACTTTAGTCCTGTATTCTTCAAGTAAAGTAAACAGTAAACCATTTTTGTTGCAGAGGTAGAATATTACTTTGAGACTTTCCTTCCTAACGAGCAGAACTTGAGTGTAGCCACTATACCAATAGATAAATAGGGGATTTTTTAATATCTATCTGTGAGCCACTGTGTCAAGTCAAGTACATTCATACACATTTAGGATTACCTGTTCTTTTATCTGCCTTTCTTATCTATACTCTAAGTCTAAAATTCTACTTTAAAGTTTTTGCTAACTGGTCTTTTATTACCTCATTAAGATGGTCAGGGAGAACAAAAACTCATTTTCTTAAAGGAAGGAAAAGTTGTACTGAGCATAATAGCTAAATCTCAGATTAGATTATTCATACTATATTGTTCTATACAGTTTTCTCTGGGTTGAATATCCTTATTTCAACTGTTGGCCAAGAATGTGTTTTGCCAGTGGATAATGTGCCAGCAGGGGGGTAGTTTCCATTAAGCATTATGAAACTGTTGAGGATTCATCTGACAGGTGTTTCTGAATGTGTGTCAGTCAAGCAGTTGTGGAGCCAGAGATGCTCGTCCTATTTTGTGAAAAATCCAGGCACACATCAAAATATTTCTAGGTTGTCACAGCTGGAATTTTGTTAAAATCAACAAAGTACAAAGATATGGGCAGGAGAATACTGACATATAGCTCTTGAGGTGCTTGAATATAAAATTTACAGGACTTGTTGTAAGGTAATATTTAAAGGTGAACTGGTATTTAAAGGGGAACTCAATGTAGTTTTGCTGTCTTTTGAAAAGAATTGTTTGAATGTAAACAGATGCTTTGTGAGAAGTTACACACTGGATGCTGAGTAAGACTGTGGGACCCCTGTAAAGAGATAATCAGATTAATTAATCACTTGGCTTTAAAAAAAATCATATTCCTTGTTTTTTTTGTGTATGTATCTAAACATGACTACAGGCACTGTCATTTGAGTACTGTTGTCTGTTGTAGAAATGTGATATATTTTCTAATGACATGCCTTTATATGACAGGATTTCTGAAAGACCTAGATTGCATCGTCTCAAGAGTCATAATGTGCATTTCAGACTTTGTTCCCCATAAATGGTAGAAGGAATATAAAAGTCTTAAGGCTTAGTTTCTGCTTTTTTCTTTCTTACCAAAAAGATGGAAAAAGCTGTATTTTGGGCCACAGCCTCATACACCATCTTGTTTCCAAGTCCTTCAGTGAGGTCGGTGTAAAAGAGAAGGAAAGGCTGGGGGAGACAGGAGAAAAGAGATGTAAAAAATTAATAATTTTAGATAAGGAGAAAAGAAAGTAAATTTTATGCTTCCCTCATAGAGAAGGAAGAAAGTTTTCCTTTGAGGGGTGAGTTAATATACTGTATGTACAATGTAGATGTTGGTGCCTTTAAATCTTGATGTCTGTACAAGGCCTGCTTCTGTCCTGCCATCTCTTTTTTCACTCAGTGGGCATACAGGATCGGCTGTGCTTGACTCAGATACAAGGTGAGAGGCATTTGGGATTCCCCAACCTGCACAATTCCTCTTTTCAGATTCTCAGTACAGGGAATTTGTGTACTGGTCTTGACAGGGATTCTAAACATGTCTTTCCAGAAGTCACTTAACTCCAGGGTACATGCAAGAGACTGACAACACTGTAGAGAAGTATTGCCCTGATTTTGCAACTTCTGTTGGTTTTTGTAATCGTATAGGAAAACAGAGGTCTAAGATGAAGAAACATCTGTTAATACTTAATATGGTGTCTTCTTTGGACATTGGCTTTGTATCTGAGAAAATCCCTAAAGAAGCAAAAATTAAAACTTACTGTGGATCCAGCAGGTGGTGTTTTGAGGGTCAAGGTCTCAGCTACATTGTTGTATGGTGACTTGTGACTCTAGCTTTCAAATTTGCCAAAAAGCATACATGTTAAACACATGTTGCGTAACTGCAAAATGGATGAAGAATAAGTAAACAGTAAAATTCACTTATCTTATGAAATACCTTATATACTTTCTTTGTTCCTGCTGAACATTTTGATCAAACACTTTTTCATAATGAAAGATTGCTGATACTTAGGTCTAAAATATGGTATTTAGAAGGGGCTGTTCTATTATTAGAACAATATTAAATTAAATTTTAAATTTATAAATTTATATATAAATTATATTTATAATTTAATATTTATAAATTATTTTCTGAAACTGCTCCATTGTATTTGGCCTAAAGCAGATGGGCAGCACCAGAAATCTGCTGCAGCTTTCTAGAGAAAATGTAACAAATGTCTTTAAGGGCTGTAATGCTGCCATTACTGGGGGTTCCACTGTTCTGCTATTAGCATGGTTGTCCAAGAAGTAGGAAGTCTGGGTTTAGTTATAAAGGTTTAATTATATTTCAGGGTTGTGTTGGGTGGATTCTGCACCTGTGCTTGAGCTGGTTAAACCTTACAGTGAGACAGTACCTTATAGAGGCACCTGCACTAGGTGGGCATGTATGTGTTGGTGCTAGTCATGAATTCAAATGCAGCTATTGTCTGAAAAATCAGTGAAGACAAGGCACCTCCATCTTTAGGTTTCTTTAAGTTATGTGGAGGCTTTACTCTCCTCTGTGTAGTCAGAAACCAACAACTGTATTCCTAAAAAACAAGATGAAGGTTTGAACCATACTCATTTTAATGGGAAACTCTACAACTGAGCCATGGCCACGTGTATTAAATATGTACAGAGGAATGGCTGGTATCAAACATCACATTATTTTGTAGCTCTACCTATTGTAATTGTTTTTTCTCCCTTTTTGTGCAAGATCCTGTAATGAATTATTAGTGCCAAATATCAGTTGTAAAATGTTTTAGTTTTTCTGTAGTAATAGATCAAAGTATTTGCTATAAGTGATACCTTTTTTCTTGTAGGTCTTCATTACTTCAAAAACATTGTGTTAGTAGGATCTCTGCAGGATCGTTACGTTCCTTATCACTCTGCTCGCATTGAGATGTGTAAAACAGCTTTAAAGGATAAACAATCAGGTAATAAATACCCTGGGAAATAAACAAACTGCTCAGGTTAAAATCTCATACCTATCAATCTCCTCCCATTTAATTTTGGCAGCTTAACTGAGGCACCTCTATTATGTGTTTAAAAACTCTGGGCTTTAGTAAGTAATAGTAAGTAGGAGTAGAGAGAGAAAACCCACGTGGAGGCTGACTTGCTTTCTGTATCTGTCCTGTTCTATTACATGCAGATGGAGATGAGACTGAACAAGTTTCTAGTTTACTAGACTTTGCTGAAAGTTTGGTGAGATAGACACAGCCCTTGATGCACTATTCCAAGAATGTGGAGAATAAATAATTTTAATTTTTTGAGGGTAATTGTAGCATCAAGCCCTGGGCTGTATTTAGCTATGGCTTAATAATAGCACTGAAAGAAAAGGTAATTTTTCCATAATCATTTAGGGTCCGTTGTACTGGCTGTTGAGATATCCTAGCACAATTGCTTTCTAGTATTACATTTTGACAATAACTTCTACGTAATGTAATAAATTAATACTGATTAGTACATTCTCAGTATAAATGTACAAATAGTAAAATGCATAGCTTCAAATTATTTTTCCAACATTTCTAGAGGAAATTAAACTTTCTGTATGTTCTGTCTTAACAGAACCACAGCATAACACATGTCATTACTTCTCTTACTCTGGAATGTGTTCATTTTGAGTCCAAAGTCAAAGCATTGTGTTTGTTTCTACCAATTCAAATAGTACAACTTTTCTTTTACTTTACAGGACCAATTTATGCTGAAATGATCCAGAACCTGCTTCTGCCAGTTCTTCAAAATAAGGAATGCAATTTGGTTCGTTATAATGTAATTAATGCATTACCCAATACAGCAGATTCTCTCATAGGGAGAGCTGCACACATTGCTGTTCTTGATTCAGAAATATTTTTAGAAAAATTCTTTCTTGTTGCTGCCCTAAAATATTTTCAGTAGAGAAAAGCATTGTAAGAGACTTGGTTATTACCTCATTAACAGATGAATTCAGATGTGTGGTGTTAAAGTATAGCTGCAGCTGTATTTTAAGAGATATTTATACTTTTTATATGGAAGATAATTTATATCATCCACACTTAGGGCTTTTTAACATCAACTTTACTTTCTAGGTAATGTGACTGTGCAATATTTTTTTATTTTGTTCTTTTTACTTTTCTATTACTTTTTCTTAATTTTGGGTACCTAATTATTTGGAGATTAAAGCACAGTGTGTACTTTTGTTTGGTTGGTTAATGGCTTTCAGACAACAGAAGTCGATGTTACTTGGCAACATTTTACAAGAGGCTTTAGATGCCAAAAATAAATCGGATTTTAAAATTCTAACAATGTCTTACGTGTTCACTTGTCGTATTTTAGCACTGTAGGAAGTTTAACTGGAAACACAATGAGCTGCTAAAATACTGGATATTTGAAAATTAGTATATCTGCTACAGCTTAACAGTTTTCTACAAAATCATTACTGTCATTGTTAAATATGTTATGCTTGTGGGAATATATTTTCTACTGATCATCAAAAACATGTTCGTTTACATACTCAAATTTTATTACTGGAACTATTGTTTTCAGAAGCAAATGGCAACTAAGGATTTTTGGATGTTCAGTGATAGCTGCCTTCAAATAATTGGGGTTTTCCAGACTGTATTAGATGGTTCCTAACTGTCAGTTCTTCAGATAAACATGGACAATTTTATGTGGACTTCCTTGTATATATTCAAGTAAATGTTACAAATTTCTGCAATACTTTTATGAATTTAAGGAATTTTTAAATATTGTTAAAATGTTTTATTGACTATAAAGTATTGTAAATATAAATCAATACTTCTTCAAATGAGACAATATTGTAAACTTTACCTAATTAGTGACACGGATAAAATGTTTTTGATATACAGGAATGATAAAGGTCTGACTTTCTACTGGTGCTGAATAGCATTGTTTGGTTTCTTCTTCCTTCCCTTTTCTCTGTTTCAAACAATAATTCACTAAAGGTGGGGGGGAAGAGTTACATGTGCATTCACTAATTGTACACTAATTGTAATGAACATTTTTTGAAAAATATAAATGTTGTATAATGCATGTTTATTTTTAGCATTGTGTTATTGCATCTGGTGTTAATAAAATGAACAAATTACTCTAATGAAAGCAATTAAAGAAACTGAAATGTTCTGCTAATTACCAAAATTCTGGGGAGGCTTTTTGTATATAATTAATAATTTTGTACTTTTGAAATTAATACAGCAATAATAGTTTATAATGAAATGATTTTGCATTTGATATAGAATGTTGTATAATATTCTTTGTAATGTATGGCGGGGGAGAGTTCCCCATAACTTACAAGATGCTCAAATGAGTATGAGCACCTACAGTTCAGCAATGCATACACTGCAGAGTATTTTATTGGAGTTGTGTTAGGCAAGTCATTATGACACAAAGGTATCTTTAATACATTCTCACTATTACAATGCCTATTTTTATTCTTAATTTTGCATTATGATCTTGCTATTAAGCTCTAAATATTCAAATTATGTTCCGGTGTCTCAACTGTCTTTTATTTAACAGTATTACAGGATTTACCTACTGGCTAAACTTTGAATAGCTGTTTAAGGGAGCTAAAGTTACAAAACATTCCTTGATTCACAATGAAGACTTTAAACTGGTCTTAGGAAGCAAGTATTTAGGCGGTTCTGTCACTATTGAAAAATGTCTGTCTTGCCTTCTGTCTCTTGAAATCTGTATGTGTAAAGCATGCTCCTGTGATCAGAAAAGCAGAAGTAATATGACAGAAATAGCCACTTTTTTTTTTCCTTTCTCTTTTTTTCCCCCCTTTTTTGGGGAGGGGGGAGGTAACAGTACATCCCATCCAGTTAAGGCAGTTTGAATGAGGTTTGTTCTTTGAGGAAAACAGATAGTACAGGAAATCATGTTATATTTGTGTGTAAGTATATGAAGGAACGGGGCAAATTAAGAGAACAATAAATTCATTTTCTCTTCCTTAATTTTTATTGCCTACTCCATATGCGGTCTGGTAGCCCTCTGGTAGCCCTCTCAGTACTGTAGCTTTTGTGAGGGCTGTCTGACATCCCAAAGGAACGTCTGACAGTAGTGAGAGGTGTGATGACCCCAACATGTCCTTGAAGCGTAGGAAGTTCATATTTACTTACAGACTGTATGGTCACTTGCAGTTGCTCTCTGAACAACACATTCAGGCTGGGATATTTCAGACAACTGCATGTGTTGCATGGTATGTTCCCCCTACTCCTGCAGTTTTCTGCCTTCTCTTTCCCAGACCTAAATACAGACTTGTGTATACATAAGTCAGTTTCACTGGTGCAGTAGCAGCTGTGAACTGCTGCTACTCACCATCTCACCACTCTATGAATGAGGGCTTCATCTTCCTTTAGTGATAGCAACCTCTCCATCCAGGTATCCTGCAGCTGCTTGAATTATGTTGCTTACAGAGCAAGATGTAAAAACTGAGGTCTTAATATTCCTTTAACTGTCTTTCTCTTGTTCCCTGAAGGCAGTAGGCTGGTACTGTTATTTCAAAAGCTCTCAGTGATATTATTAGGAGATCACTGCATAAAGTGACATAGTGTCTGAACCTCTGTTTTCATGTTGTATATATAAATTAACTCCTTGGGTTGTGTTTGAATCCTTGATACCAACTAAACTTTCTGTTCCTGTAAATCTAGGCATTGCTGCTACTTTTGAAAAAGAGCTCATGTTGCATTGGACATCACCAGGCTTTGCAGTAGAGCCAAGAGGTCTGACATTGATGGAAAATTTACTCTGTAACCATGAAACAACCTTGTTTCCAAGCTGGTTCTATTTGCCTAGCCCTGACCAGGTGTGGTGTTCAGATAACCAAAGTTCTTCATGTGGTCTTAGAGGCAGAGGAGACATTTAGGAAATATCAGTACACTTGCAGCCCAGGGCACTGCTGGTTGTGGTGCTTTACAGATAGTCAGTAAACAAAGAAATGAAAACCATTAAAGAAAACACTCAACTTAATGACAAAGTAAAAAATTCCTGTGGTGTATGCTACCTTTGTTTTTACCAATGTTAAGATCTATTATCTCCTTTTAGCCAAAATATCTAGAAATGAATAATTCAGGAGTTACAAGTGAATTTTGACAGCAATACAATAAAGACAAGAAATGTGTTTTGAAGACGTAATTTTAGGTGGATAAACAGTACCTCATTAGTCTTTCACTGCTATTTCATTCTTGCCATTTGAAATTTGGCATGTATGTTTGTATGTATGATGTATGCATACATGTATGATTTTTCATGGATTGTGTTAAGTGGTTTAGGCGCAGAGCTTACTAATACTTGGTCCCTACAGGCAGCTTAGTAAGTTTTTTTAAGGAGAGGATTTCATGTTTTTATTGTACTGAACACATAAATAATAAGTTCTTGAACTTTGATGAGCTCCGTTTAGGCTTATTTCTTGCCACTTTTAGGCAGAGCATTTTTTTCTGCATTCGTCTTTATTCCCTCTAATCTAGAGGCCCAGCATCTTGCTGTTAAAATAAAGGAAAGGGTTTCCATTATTTTCAGTCTCTATTGTCTAATTAACCATGTTATAAAGGGCTGATTGAGAAAATGTCACTTGGAAGGCAGTCAGTTAAATTTAATCACTTTCAGTGTGTAGGCATTGCCAGATGTAGCTCAATAAACTCCAGGGAGTGCTGCTGCTCTTTAATTTACCAAGATTTACTTTCTTAAAGCTTTCATTTGTGAACGCAAATTGCTATTTAAAATTCAGATCTCCAAGTTACCTTCTGCAGGTTAGTATCTGTGGAGAGAGTGAGTTCTGTTTTATCTAAGAACAAGGTTAGCTGGAGAAGTTTAAAGAGTGACAAAAAGTAAAAGTTGGATTCATTTGAGCAAAACATGATCTGTAGTTAATTAACTGGAGCGTCACTCCATGCACACAGGCGTTGCTTATCCCAGGGTCAGGTTTATACTGAGTGTTAAAAGCAGCTTCACTGGTTTAACTCGGAAACCGGAAAGATGCCGTCTGAAAGCACAAACACTTGTACATCACTGTAGTGTTAGCCGAAGTTCCTTCATGTCCTAAGCAGCCTTTGTATATTATTTGAACAATGTACAATTTTTTTATATTAAAAACAAAAAACAAAATAAAAACCCTAGCTGGACTGCACTACACATTGAGGGGAAAACGGGTACTTGCAGCGCTGAACTCTTCACTGCATCGAAGAAAGAAGACATGTTTGCCCAGGGGCGGAGAGAAGAGTTACAGCGTATTTCTCGAGCACCTCTGTGAGCCCGTAGCTGCGTTCATCGGGACCGTGGCTCCCCAGGCGCCGTTCGCCTCTGTTTACCGGAGCCGGGGTGCAGCGCAGGGCCACGGGAAGCCGCTAAAACAACCCTGACCGGGGCCGGGGCCGCTGCCCGCCCCCGGCTGCGGCCGCTGCCGCCTTGGGCGCCTGCGNCTTTAGTCCTGTATTCTTCAAGTAAAGTAAACAGTAAACCATTTTTGTTGCAGAGGTAGAATATTACTTTGAGACTTTCCTTCCTAACGAGCAGAACTTGAGTGTAGCCACTATACCAATAGATAAATAGGGGATTTTTTAATATCTATCTGTGAGCCACTGTGTCAAGTCAAGTACATTCATACACATTTAGGATTACCTGTTCTTTTATCTGCCTTTCTTATCTATACTCTAAGTCTAAAATTCTACTTTAAAGTTTTTGCTAACTGGTCTTTTATTACCTCATTAAGATGGTCAGGGAGAACAAAAACTCATTTTCTTAAAGGAAGGAAAAGTTGTACTGAGCATAATAGCTAAATCTCAGATTAGATTATTCATACTATATTGTTCTATACAGTTTTCTCTGGGTTGAATATCCTTATTTCAACTGTTGGCCAAGAATGCGTTTTGCCAGTGGATAATGTGCCAGCAGGGGGGTAGTTTCCATTAAGCATTATGAAACTGTTGAGGATTCATCTGACAGGTGTTTCTGAATGTGTGTCAGTCAAGCAGTTGTGGAGCCAGAGATGCTCGTCCTATTTTGTGAAAAATCCAGGCACACATCAAAATATTTCTAGGTTGTCACAGCTGGAATTTTGTTAAAATCAACAAAGTACAAAGATATGGGCAGGAGAATACTGACATATAGCTCTTGAGGTGCTTGAATATAAAATTTACAGGACTTGGAAGAAGCAGAAATAATAAAGTAGGAGCAAGAAGTAAAATTATAGGTAAGATAGGGATATTGATCTAAAATTGATTTTAGAAAAACTTGGGGTTTTTTACCCTTCTCTTCAGAATCTACTATCACAAAGTGATTTTGTTGATTGTAAGGTAATATTTAAAGGTGAACTGGTATTTAAAGGGGAACTCAATGTAGTTTTGCTGTCTTTTGAAAAGAATTGTTTGAATGTAAACAGATGCTTTGTGAGAAGTTACACACTGGATGCCGAGTATGACTGTGGGACCCCTGTAAAGAGATAATCAGATTAATTAATCACTTGGCTTTAAAAAAATTCATATTCCATGGTTTTTTTGTGTATGTATCTAAACATGACTACAGGCACTGTCATTTGAGTGCTGTTGTCTGTCGTAGAAATGGGACATATTTTCTAATGACATGCCTTTATATGACAGGATTTTTGAAAGACCTAGATAGCATCATCTCAAGAGTCATAATGTGCATTTCAGACTTTGTTCCCCATAAAAGGTAGAAGGAATATAAAAGTCTTAAGGCTTAGTTTCTGCTTTTTTCTTTCTTACCAAAAAGATGGAAAGAGCTGTATTTTGGGCCACAGCCTCATACACCATCTTGTTTCCAAGTCCTTCAGTGAGGTCGGTGTAAAAGAGAAGGAAAGGCTGGGGGAGACAGGAGAAAGAGATGTAAAAAATTAATAATTTTAGATAAGGAGAAAAGAAAGTAAATTTTATGCTTCCCTCATAGAGAAGGAAGAAAGTTTTCCTTTGAGGGGTGAGTTAATATACTGTATGTACAATGTAGATGTTGGTGCCTTTAAATCTTGATATCTGTACAAGGCCTGCTTCTGTCCTGCCATCTCTTTTTTCACTCAGTGGGCATACAGGATCGGCTGTGCTTGACTCTCAGACACAAGGTGAGAGGCATTTGGGATTCCCCAACCTGCACAATTCCTCTTTTCAGATTCTCAGTACAGGGAATTTGTGTACTGGTCTTGACAGGGATTCTAAACATGTCTTTCCAGAAGTCACTTAACTCCAGGGTACATGCAAGAGACTGACAACACTGTAGAGAAGTATTGCCCTGATTTTGCAACTTCTGTTGGTTTTTGTAATCGTATAGGAAAACAGAGGTCTAAGATGAAGAAACATCTGTTAATACTTAATATGGTGTCTTCTTTGGACATTGGCTTTGTATCTGAGAAAATCCCTAAAGAAGCAAAAATTAAAACTTACTGTGGATCCAGCAGGTGGTGTTTTGAGGGTCAAGGTCTCAGCTACATTGTTGTATGGTGACTTGTGACTCTAGCTTTCAAATTTGCCAAAAAGCATACATGTTAAACACATGTTGCGTAACTGCAAAATGGATGAAGAATAAGTAAACAGTAAAATTCACTTATCTTATGAAATACCTTATATACTTTCTTTGTTCCTGCTGAACATTTTGATCAAACACTTTTTCATAATGAAAGATTGCTGATACTTAGGTCTAAAATATGATATTTAGAAGGGGCTGTTCTATTATTAGAACAATATTAAATTAAATTATAAATTTATAAATTTATATATAAATTATATTTATAATTTAATATTTATAAATTATTTTCTGAAACTGCTCCATTGTATTTGGCCTAAAGCAGATGGGCAGCACCAGAAATCTGCTGCAGCTTTCTAGAGAAAATGTAACAAATGTCTTTAAGGGCTGTAATGCTGCCATTACTGGGGGTTCCACTGTTCTGCTATTAGCATGGTTGTCCAAGAAGTAGGAA